GTTAATACTTCATTGGGACTATACCCATTTATATAATTAATCATACATTAATTATCCCAAAATCACATTGCTCTGATTAAGGCTCAGATAGAATCGATTACCTGACCCCAGTCATATAATTTTCCCAATCCAAAATAATATAAATAGAGTAGTGGTTCAGTGTAGAAATGTCGTCAAATTTTGATACCAAATCTTTGTCAATAAACAAACCCAACACAAGTTCTCACAAATCTTTGTTCCTCATCTCAAATCTTGAATTCTTCTTTTTACAACTTCTTCAAAACTTAAACTACCACAACAATATATAAGTAGATCACAGCCAATCTGATATATATATAAGCTGATGATAGTCAATCTGGTAGATATATAAGTTGTTCACTATCAATCTAATATATATATAAGCTGTTGTCCACCAATTAGTTATATATATAAGCTGATGACAGGTGATCTGCACTATATATAAACATATGATATCCAGTCTGATATATATATATAAGTGGATCACAGCCAATCTGATATATATATAAGTGGATTACAGCCAATCTCATATATATTAGCTGAACACTACCAATCTAGTATATATATAAATAAATGATATCTGATCTGATATATATGTAAATCAATAACAGTCAATCTGTATTATATATATATATTTATTGCATTCAATTTACTACTTATATAAGTTAATAAAAAATAATATATAATCAATATTAGCCAATAACATTTGATTTATCACTAATATTAGCTTATAACATCTTATCTATCTCTGATATTAGTTAATAGCATTGGATCTATTACATTATATATATTCACACTTGTCAATATCCAAGTCATATCCAATCATCTTGTCAAATATAAGTTACATACTCTAATCATATTTAATCTTTAATTTTATATATATTCAGAACTATTTTATAATCTTTATATATGTATATATAATGTATAAATACATAAAATTATAATAAATATTAATAAGTTGATTTGTTCATATATTTTTTGATTGATCTAAATAATAATATTTTGATTTTTATAAAAAAATTAGTAAAAAAATATGAAAATTAATTTTTGTTAATTCTGTACTTGCTCTTTACATATTTTGATACTTTTATATTATATTACTAAATTTTGTTTATATAGCAAAAAAAATTAAAAAATTATTACTTAGTAAGAATTTAAACTTTCATTAGAAGAAATATATTTAATTATTGTTGGAACGGCTTTTTGATAGTTTAAAATTAAATGTTTTTCGGATTTCTGAAGGTATATGGGGCTTTAAAGTCCGAATTCAAACTCCGCCCTTTGCTTACAGTGTCATAAAGCAATCTGAAGATGACCAGTTTATTTCCCACAAAAGACATATAAATGTTTAGTGAAATATAACATATTTAAATCATTATTATTAATTATTTTAAAGTTTATTTTCTCTATCAATTTGTCATGTCTTGTAACGTGCATATACTTAAAACAATGCCGTGAATGTAAGCTATATAGATTCAGTTTGAGCGTCACATAAGGTTACAAATTGATAGAGAAAATACAATTATAAAATTTATAGTATCTATTTTAAGTGTTATAATCTTATATATAATATAGTTTGTGTGTCTTAGTCACGTGCCATGTCACAAAAAAGTTTTTTTGGCAGCTTTTATTTTGTTTAAATATTATGTTCATTTGTTTTTTTTTGCTTTCTTTTCTTTTATTTCTACTTTATTTATTTTCAAATGAATTATCAATCTTCTTTATCAGTTTGTCCATTATCTATTCCTTTTTTGAGCTATGTTATGGCATCAACATATACATCTGAAGTTGCAAAATACTAATTAAAAAAAATATTTTTAATTTTTATATATTAATATTTAATATGTATAAAGATATTTGATTGCACAGAGTGCTTTATATCCAAGAAATCATATTGTTTTTACTTGTTCTGGTGGCAGTTCTATGGACTATATATTTGAAAAAGACAGAGACTACAGTTACAGATGCAGTGAAGTAAACAGCATGGGAGCAACATGTTGTAAAAGAGAAAGAAAATCTGAAAGATTGGATTCTTTCTTTGCACAAAGCCATCTTTCCTATGATATTGTTATGCAAGAAATATATTACTGGTTAAACTGGATTCCTAGAAGGTTGAATAAAGGTTTACAGGGTTTTAAAAGCCAGATTTAAACTAACGATATAGATAATATCAAATGTCTATATTTTCTGATAGATGGTAAAGTATTAGCCAAAATTGAGGCTTATGTATCAGAAAATAAGACAAAAAATACAACTACCAGAAAATAAAAAATGCTATAATTTACTAAGTTGTTTTGAAAGTTGTTTCAATTTACAAAACGTTTCTTTGAGAAAAAAGCTAGATAGTTATAATTTTATTCTTGTGTATGAGATCTGCGAAGATGAACTTCATATTTGTTTTTTATAGACTGAAAGACTTGTAGAGAGCGTTGATATGCATCAAACAAAGTCTGACCATCATCTTCAGTCATATACTGTTGCATAGTCAATAGATCTTGGTTTGTATACCGAAGTGTTTGATTGATGTCAATACATTGCTGTATAAAAGCAGATGTACGACTGATAGTTGGTGTGATTGTAGCTGTTTCAGAGGTAGAGACTGGCTGTATTACGTTTGTACTTGTGACAGAAGATAGAGAGAAGTAGAGAGATCGGTTTGTATATATTTTAAGCAAATACATATGCTTACAAGGTTTATATCTTTGCTGATAATGGAAGCTGCTGCAGGAAATAATCAAGTTTGGCTCTGCAATCTGAATAAAATATTTTGTATTTTCATTTACAAATGACCAAACTTGCCAATTTATATCTTCTGCAGTACCAGAAGCAACAATCAACATTTCTCTGTCATCATTGACTTTTTTAGCTTCTGTTTCACATATTTTTTGCTGTCTAGTAAAAAATCTCATTGCACCATTATTTGATATGACACGTCTATATTCTTAGGTAAGATAATACTTAGCATCATGTACTAAAACAAAAACAAGCTTATCAAATCTTTTGTTTCTAGATCTTTTCATGAAAACCGTTTTTAATTGATTGTACCAGAACTCGATATAGTTATTTGTGAGCATATGAGAGAATTATCATTTATGATATGCTCTACTTCAGATATTAAACTTTGCTTCTGTGCACCAGTTTTTCTCAAAGTAATCCAAGAAGCTTTCTTGGTCGTCAAAGTCTTCTTTCAACTATATAATTTTATGATGAAACACGTCTATGTCTTCTTCATAAATAATCTCTTGCAGAGACTTCATCATCACACCACATAAAATTCGTGCCTCAGATGGTAAGGATCCAGGAATCTTCACACTGTCAGATAACTTTTGGTTCCATGCTTGGATTACATGAAAGATGTAAAATTGAATGGATGTTGCAGAAAAAGTTGTCTGAATGGCGTGAACTTCTGCTGCACAACAATAAATAGTAAATTGCTTTGGGTCAACAAGCAAAAAAGATCTCTTCAAGAACTGCAGCCACTGTATAATGGGGCTTACACTTCGATCATTGGTTACCATAAAGGCAACAGGCCATCCTCTAACAATATCTTTATCACGCACCAAAAGGGTATAAAGAATCTCATTCACGTTGCTAGAGATTGCATGAGTAGCATCCAAACAGAAAGAAGTTGTGGTTTTCATTTTTTCTTGCTGAACGGGTGACATAAAACCATATGCAAAGGCTGATGGATCTGGAGAATATGAAGTGATTGCCTTAAAGATGTTGAAGTTTAAGGTAGGAAGTTTGTTGTTCATCCAGATTAAGAAAGAAGTCATTTGGTCCCTGTCAAAATAATATAGCTTTTTATTGATCTATTACAGAAATATATTAAAGTAAATGCTATAAGATATATTATTTTTAAAGCTTACTTTGTTCATCAAATTCCAGATATCATAATAGTTAACTTTTCTTTCAGACTTTCTACCATATTGATCTACAGCTCTCAACATATCAATTCTAATTTGACTAGCAGATTTTGACGGCTGTTCTAATTGCTGAGCCAACTTGTAAAGATATTTCTTTGCAAGAGGAAGGGTGCAAATGTCACTACGCATATCACCAGGAGTATGCTCTGCATAATCTTTTGTAACAACAAATTCGTAAAACTCGGGTGTCTTAAAGAATCCATTCACACAAAGAAGAGCAGGACACTTGTTTTTCTTTGTTTGCTTTTGAACCACACACGAAGCTGCCTTAGATTCATAGGTTCCCCAACGATGACAGGAATACTCCTGAGAAAAACATAACTTAATACCAGTTGCTTTGGCTTCTTCAGTAGTAATGTTAGTGGGTTGCTTATTGGTATTGCAAATGACCCACTTGACTGCACAAGCTTCCCCAATCTCTGTTAAACATTCTTTCCACTCAGATGTCTTTACTCTAATAATATTTTCTAATCTAAGTGTCATCACTCTTGGAACAGAAGAGCATTCCAAGGCTTGGGAGATTGTTGCCAAAATGTAAATGGTTTCGTTAGATTAAGTGTTGTTGATTGACATATTTAGTGAGAGTGTGTATTTTAATAAAACACGTAATTTAATGGATATAGAATATCTGTTTCAAATGAACAATTCAAAAACAAAGAAAAGGATTGGCAGTCACAATTTTGGTTAATATTTTATTATCTACAAGAAAATATAGACTTTCATAATATCTCTATGAGTTTTTAAAATCAGATTAATGTTCTTAAGCTAAAAACCAATAATTTTTTGTGTTCTATATATCTGTGTTTTAATATTTTGTTTTTTAAATTACTCTGCAAATATTTGTTCTATAATAATGCAAAACCGGATTTGGACAGCCTGAATTTCATAGATATTAATCAATAGTCATCACATTTTGGTACTGTTTTTTGTTGTGAAGATAATGCAGTTTCAAACTTTATGTAAGAAAGGTAACAAATATGCTTTTAAATTAGGCGCAATGGATTTAATATAATAAATGTTTTTTGATTACATATACTCGTGGTCACTTGTTACAGTTACGGTTCACTGATGTGGAGACTATAGTTCGATTCTAGCTGGATGCATTTTGCACTCTCTCCATTTTTTATTTGATTTTTTTAAGATATAAATCTTATCTTATATCTATTATTAGATGTTGAATGATATTATTCTTTTGATATATTTGAATTAAAATGTATTTATGTTTTGTTTTTATATTATCATTTTAATATTATTAAAACAAATTAATTTAAATCCATATTTCTTATATTTTTTTATTAAAACATTGTAGAATCAATATATTTTTCATCTTCATCATCTTCTAAATATTCATAATTTGTATATATTGGGTTGTCAACAATGCTTCCAAAAGAAATCTCAGCTAACATTTTTAGCATTGCTTGCCACAATCTGTTCTCATATTTTTTTTATGAATTCCATTAACATCCATGGCACTATTTGTTTTGTTCACAATCTGGCCTTGCAGTTCATTTTTATTCCATTCCACAGACCTATGTAATAAAAGTTAATAAAATAATTTTTTCTTTTATAGTATTTTATCTTCTATAGTATTGGTATGAATACCATCAGATATAACATACTCAACATTGTGATTGACTGTTCTATGAGTATAGTTCATATCAACCACTGATGACAATCCCCCATATACAGCCTAGCAATCTGTGTGAATAATTTTATTGGGCTTTACATACTTCTTTATCACTTGTAGGAGAGTTGCAGCATCTCTCTGAGGAACTGTCACCAAAAATGTTTTTCGTTCTGCTGTTTTCTCAGTACTCCCCAGAACCCAAACACCTTCTACTCGATGTCTTTGGTGATGTTTCCTCTTTCCAAATTTACTTTCATCAATTTCAACAATAATGAATTGACTATTGACATCAATACCTCCTATAAAAATATTTAATATATCTATATATAATTAACTCTTATAAACTTACCAATTCTCATATCATTGTTTGTTAAATCCATTTGAATCAATTGGTGAATACTAGCAATGAGATGTCTTATAGTTTCTGGAGAAACATCAAGCATAACTCCCATTGTCATTCTAGGAATCCGGTTTAACCAGTAATATATTTCTTGCATAACAACATCATAGGAAAGATGACTTTGTGCAAAGAAAGAATCCAATCTTTCAGATTTTCTTTCTCTTTTACAATATGTTGCTCCCATGCTGTTTACTTCACTGCATCTGTAACTGTAGTCTCTGTCTTTTTCAAATATATAGTCCATAGAACTGCCACCAGAACAAGTAAAAACAATATGATTTCTTGGATATAAAGCACTCTGTGCAATCAAATATCTTTATATATATTAAATATTAATATATAATAATTAAAAATACCTTTTTTACTTACTGTTTTGCAACTTCAAATGTATATGTTGATGCCATAACATAGCTCAAAGGAGGAATAGATAATGGACGAACTGATAAAGAAGATTGATAATTCATTTGAAAATAAATAAAGTAGAAATAAAAGAAAAGAAAGCAAAAAAAACAAATGAACATAATATTTAAACAAAATAAAAGCTGCCAAAAAAACCTTTCTGTGACGTGGCACGTGATTAAGACACACAAACTATATTATTTATAAGATTATAACACTTAAAATAGATACTGTAAATTTTATAATTATATTTTCTCTATCAATTTGTGACGTTATGTGACGCTCAAACTGAATCTATATAGCTTACATTTACGGCATTATTTTAAGTATATGCACGTTACAAGACATGACAAATTGATAGAGAAAATAAACTTTAAAATAATTAATAATAATGATTTAAATATGTTATATTTCACTAAACATTTATATGTCTTTTGTGGGAAATAAACTGGTCATCTTCAGATTGCTTTATGACACTGTAACACTGGAAAAGAGGTGCGGTTTTCTTATGTGTAAAACTGTAATTAATTATGTGAAAAGACCAGGTTTTATAATGCGATCAGATAGTTTTTATAAGTGTATGAAGCTGGCTTACTTATAGGTGGTAAGACCAACTTTCGAACATAGGAAAAGGTCAGAACAGCAGGATAGTAGGATGTGTTTGCATTTTCTGTATATGGGTTTTTACCACATGCACTAAAACGGCAACTCAGAATTACGTTTTGTTGTAATATATCCTACCGCTTTCCGATTAAAAGAACAATAAATGAAAGATCGATTATACAGATATGCCAGTTTTTACATTGTTTAATTTATGGATATGCCAGTTTTTACAGGGTTTTGTTGTATTTGAATTTATTTTATCCAATCTTAGAGACTTCTTCTTATACTGTTTGCTTCCATACACTTCTCCGATCTTTAATTTATTTATAATAATTATTGGTTTATTTTGTTTTTATTAGAAAGAAAAGAATATTCTTAGGTTTATAGTACAGTGGTTATATTTAATATTCAGGAACGTTCTGGCTAGTGTTCTATCCTTCATACAATGTGAAATGGCCAATGTTCTGATAAAACAAGTATTCTCCAAACAATATCTCCCAGAGAAAAGCCCAGCTGTGTGTTGCTTGCTTGTAAATGGTTGTTCTATGAAATTAGAAAAGTGTTAGCTGTTTGAACAAGAAATCGTGGATATTAAGAATATATATATGTAATTATGCTTGAAATATAATAGCTTACCAGAGACAAAAAGAAAAGGCGTCATGAATGCGAACCATAGTACTCAATATACTTTATTTGGCTATAAAAAAGCTGAAAAAAAATTATTTTTTGTGAACTGTGTGGTAGAATATTTCATTTACCTACCTGAAGCAAAATGATTTATTTGCAGACCAAGAGAGTACATAGGAGGCGCTGATATTGTCTTCAGTAAATGATATACATTAATATACAAAATAAATAATATTGTTATATGTACAAAAAAAATTACCATGTCGATGACACTCATGTGAAATGAAAGTTCTTGATTCGCGATGTGCTCATGAGAGGGAGGTTCATCTATAATAGAAATTATGTTAAGCCATGTGCTTATTAAAAAGAGATAGATTGAAATAAAATAAAATATTACCGTGTTCATAACCGTGTTTAATAGTAGAGAGTAATTTCGGCAATATGGCCTATACAAAAGAAAGGAAAAAGTCAGGATAATTTTATAGGATGACAGCATAAAGTATATTTACTAACCTTAGCTAATCCGGATGGACATTGTGAAGGGGATGCATCAGAAGGTAACAAAACGCGAGTGTCTGTAGTAATAGAAAACAATTATTATCATTTTAGTTATATATATATATAATATTAAAGAATAAGATATCTTACCAAGAAAATCTGTGAATATAATAAATGTTGGAAAGAGAGAAAAGAGAGAAAACTTGTAAATGAAAAAAAAAACAAAAAGAACAAAAGACCAAAGGGCCAAAAGGCCGAAAGACAGAAATCATATAGGATTGAGTTGAAAAAAGCATGTTCAAAGCCGATTTGCACCCCGTTAATTCCAGGAAGTATTAATAGAGATACGTGTATTAAAGAAATCCTGAGTATTTACAGCAACAAGTGTAATATAATAAATGGGTTCTTGCTTTTACTTTTACCATCTTTCCATTAACTACACTTTATTCTTTCGCTTAACACCTAACTTCTTTTGTATGTTAATAACACTCTATATATACAATGAATAGATATATAAAACAAATATAATTAACAATCAACTCATGTATAACATTTTATTAGATAGCTTTCAGACCATGGTTAACAATCGTCAGTCAATTGCCCCAGCTCCATCCCCGGAATATACTGAGCTTTTAAGAAGGCTCACCGCTATGGAGGAAAGTCTCAAGACCATGGATTCAAACATTAGCATTGTCATCAAGGGGAACAAAGATTCATTGGAAATACTTGATAGCGTTGCCGATGCCTCTGGAGAACTTCTTGCAGTTATTGCTCCTATCACTATACCTGCTTCTGCTTCTGTCCCTTTCGCAGCTTCTTCCGTTGGTTCTACTCTGGATTGGTATACAACACCTTCTGAGGCTTTTTTTGGTATCTCTTCTGCTGCTCCTTCTGTTGCTCCTTCTGTTGCTCCTTCTGTCGCTCCTTCTGTTGGTCCAGTGGTTCTTACTGGTGCAAACGCTGGTAAACTTAGTAAACAGGATCGCACTAGAGTTTTAGTAAGTGTTGAGATGTACAGTAGCTCATCAACATAATATCTCACACTAAGTATAGGCTCTTATCCGAGGAGAGTTGAAGAAACACAACTTCAAATCAAATAAGCCGGAACTAGTTGCAGCTAACGACAGCAAGCGCAGTTGGGATGTTAATGTTGATTACAGACTTCCACCCAACAGACAGCTGATGCATGACCTTCATGCATACCTGGCTCCAAAGGTTGTTGGGACTAGTGTTCGACAGGCCGATATTAGCAATTGTATCTACACAAACTTTTGTGGAACGAGATGCCGAGTCAAGGAATCCTATGAAGCGCGCAAAAAGACAAATTCTCAGTCAAGAAAAGCAGGTCGAGAGACCGATGTATGTTAGAAGTATATTTTGATTGCAAATTAAATGTATTCATATTAATACATTTATAAACTAGCATTTTGACCATCGTGAGCTGACCTACCATACATTCAAGGCTGAAATTGATATGAAGGTGGGTAAGAGCTGCGACGGACTCTTACAGAAAGAAGCAATGTCTGAGGGCGAATCTGAAGACGATATGCCTGGAGTCTCGAGCAACCGTGCAATTCGTACAGTGCGTCCAAGTTGGAGAAGCGATGAGGTAATTTCTTTTGTTTACATTATTGTATATAGCTTTTTTTTGTTTTTTTATGGATTTAAATGAAACAGAACTTTGATTAATCACTTATTTGTATTTAGTACAATCACTTTCTTGCAGTTGTTGATGATTTTATGTGTAATCGCATGGACTTCAATTCGCGTCAGATGTTGAAGAGGTCCTTTGGTAGAGATGCTGTTTTAGCAGTCCCGCCTAGATTGACGTCCCTTCTCCCTCACTGGGCTTTTAGAGATAAGTTTCAATAAATTTTGTTTTCTTATCCTCTACATCCTCCACATCCTCCATCTGACAATGATAAACGTACCAACAAATACAAACACTATGATTATTCTTTTCTGTGTACCTTTAAAAAAGGGAGTTATAATTTTATTATTTTTTAAATGTATTGTTTTTTTGGCAAAGGAATGACCAGCATCTTTTTTACTTTTCTGCGTGTTGTGTGCTCAGCAGTTGCTACTTCTAACATAATTCTATGCACTGGCAATACACATTGGAAATCGTCAGGAGAAAATGTTGGAAAGCAGGTTTCAACATGTTCGTACTCTCGCGATTTATCATTTTTGGGTGTGGACCATTTGATAAATGCAAAAGTATGTTGAGAATTGTGAAGAAGTTGTGTTGGGCGGCAATGGGTGCGGAGCAAGGGAGTAAGGGATGAAGAGGTGGGTGGAGGAGTGAAAGAATGGGTGAAAATGTACTGTATTTGACCCGTGTATGCAATGATATGCTCACCAGTACTTCCAATGAACTTTGCTTGTACAAGAGAGCCACGACTTCCAGATTCACCTTTACCCTTGTAGACCTGCCCAAGGATGTTGATGTATTTCAACAGGGTGATTGTATTGTCGACAAAGTATGGTGATTCCGACGCTTGTTGAAAGTGAACTAATTGTTCATTGTTGTATGCAACTTTGTAGTATTGTAAGAGATGAACATAGTGAATGTCACTCATTGTGGTGGTGGATTTTAATGATAGAGGGAATGCGGAAGGAGGGAGAGGTTCGTTGCCTTTTACAAGTACATTTGGATCTTCAGAAGCCTCGACAAATGACTGTAAGTGGAAGGTACATTGACGGATAGATGGAATGGTGGCGGGTGTAAAGGAAGAAGTGAGTTTGGTAAGGAGAGGAAATGCAGATGTCTGGCGGGTACTCTGAAGGAAACTGTTGACAAGATCGTCTTTGTGCACATCTTCAATAAATTTCTTCATAAATGTTTCTTCAAACCCGATCTTCCTGTTTGTCTTCAAATTTTTTAACAACCCGTTAAACCGCTCGAACCCGAATAGCCAATAACTATACACTGGTCCAAAATCACGAATTGTATCTCGAAGATGGAGGTGTAGGTGCATATTACAGGTGAGGATTTCGGCGTTGTACAGCTCGTCACATCTGGTGCAAAAAGTTTGAAGAAACTGATGGGCAGTGTTGACTTCATCGAACGTGATCGTTGGCTTGATCAACAGGCGGCATGCATCAACAAAGTTAATCCAGTTTTCGAATCTGTCTTTTGCAAGAACATCTTTCAACAGAACTGGCGAGTATACAAGCACCCATGACTTCCACTTGTCTGCCTTCATATACGAAAACTGCTTTCCTATTTTCGAGTTCAAAGAGGTGTATCCACCAGGCACAATCATCGTTTCTGCAGTCTTCTGCATTGCCGCAAAATCGCCATCTTGAATGTCTTCGTCTTTGATCCAACGATCCATCAATCTTTTAGGCGTTCCCAGGAATAAATTATGCATGGGATCAATGATCGTTCCACGTACTAGATCAAGGTATCCAAGGCGATGCAACTGCGACCATCGAACACCATTTTTGACCTCCAGCCGATGCCTTTCTGAGGGGGTACTAGCACTTTCCCACTCCTCAGCATGCAACGTGTTCTTTACACCGTCACGAAGCACCCACCGAGAGAAGTCAAACCCACAAAAGTCAACATTGACACCGTTTTCCAAGCGAGGGAAATGTCTGTTGCACTTGTAACATGCACATGTACTGTTGTGCGAGGTGAAACCACTTGTCTTTCTTGCTGCCGGGATGTCACAGGCCACCATCATCAATGCGGCACGGACGCGGACACCACTAGGACACTCGAAAGTTGGGATTGCCAGTCCCTCATACAATCTTATCAGATCATCTACCATAGGCCAGAGATAATGGTTTATCTCTTCGGATTTGGGTTCCTTTGGGCCAGGCATCAATCCTACAAGAAGTGTGTTCTCTGGCTTGTATTTTTCATTGCAAGGCAGATTGTTTACTACCAGGTATATGGCACCAGTCGAGTGCGTGACGTTATCGAAAGGTTGAAACCAGTCAATGTTGAGAGTCAACATTAATGAACGCGAATCCTTTGTGAATTGCACGCCATCTTTGTCTTTGAGCTCCTTCCACATGGCACCGTCGTATATGTCACACATCGTATCCACCATCTTCAGCTCGTGATTCCAATGTCTAATTTTACCCTCAAATCCTGGACGAAGAAAAAACATTCGTAAAGTATTAACGGCGGACTGGTACAAGTATGAACGCTTGGCCACCAAAGCACCCGATGCTGATGTTTTTGTCAATTGGCAGTTGCAAGACGAGCGTGCACCAAGCTTTACGAAATCGCAATGAGACGGGACAGATGCACTTTCTTCGTACATCTTGTGACAATCCTGACACACAAAAAATTTCTTTATGCCTTTGGTCATGGCTGAGAAACCTGTCATGCGCTGAAGACCAGGAAGGCTCAAGGGCAGTTGGAAATCCTGCTCGTAAATTGTCAAAAGCTTGTTGATGAACTCGATCAAGACAACGGCGCCCTTGTCAACCACATAGCGGGAAGCAAACATCACCACAAAAGTAGCAATGAATCTGTGCACTGGGTTCTGGGGCATATCGGGAGTGGCAAAAGGGTTTATTATAAAAAAAAATTAACACTTTTTTTTTAAAAATTTTTTAACACTAACTGACCTTCACTATTCAATTCATTGTCGTTGAGCTCAATAACATCGTCTTCGCTTTTGTCTTCACTGATTTCATTGCTGTTGCTTCCACTGTCATCATTGTCACCATTGCTGATCGCGTCATTAGTAACGGAAACGTCTTCAGTGTCAGACATTGAAGCTCCTTCCCAAACAGGTGAGTTTGTCTGAGTGTACGATTCTTCCAGGGCTCCGGGTTGATGGGTTAAGATAGCTACATTTAGAATATAACACTTGGTTAATATCTAACGGTATCTGAATTAAATAAACCTTACGTTCATCATCGACCTCCATTATATTTCTTTGGGTAGACATGTCTATTACAACACGTTATTTCATGGATTACAATACAATTAAATAAATTCAAATATTGTACCCCTTTCACATCTTATGGCATTTAGTCTTGCCCTTTTGTTATGACGTTGAGTAGTTCTTCTGGCAACAAAACTATAGCCAAGATTGTTCTGACTACATCCAGCACAATGGCACTTTTTGTTGTAGAGTTCAGGAATTGTGGACATAATGTTTATTTATTTTTACTTTGAAGTGTTAAGAGAAAAAGGAAACAAGTACAACGTTTACTAAATTTACTATGTCTTTATAATGAAATGTTATGTCTTTATAATAATAATAATAAATAATATTTTTGCCTGTTGTATCCAAGCCAATAGAAAACCGGAAAACAGTGTTTTTATCTTGAACACACAAAAAAAGCTGAGATGAAAAAATACCCCAGATTTTCTATTATTATAATTTAACTTTGTACATGGTAATTCCCGTATGTTTTTCTAGTGTAAGCAAAGGGCGGAGTTTTAATTCGGAACTTTAAAGCCCCATAAACCTTCAGAAATCCTCATAGGTCATTTTGGCCCATTCCTCATGGTGAGCATGCTTGAATCTCAGTTGCTCTAAGAGAGACACCATCTGAAAAGTTTGTGCAGATTTTACACTCACTCTCTCCACTTTGTACCTGCCCTCACCAAAATGAGAACATGTTTCATCTTCGTTGATGAAGTCTTCTTCTTCTATTTTTGAGAGCCAGCAGCATCCATTTATGCACATATTGTATGCAACAGATTTCACTGGGTACTCATCCTTCAACAAGGTGTCTACCTTGTAGTATGGCAGAATTGAATCTACATTAGCTAAAATAGTAGTAAGTGCACGTGCTATAAAAAGAGTATACTAATTATAAACTTACTGAATCCAAGTTCTATCATGTACTTATTAACAGTTTTTACGCATTTGTTATAGACTTTATGAGAGATGTTGTTCTCAAAAAACATGGAAAACAATTCAAGACTGACAGCCTGTACACAACTATTGAACATGTATGTGAGAACAATATGTTCATGATCAGTGACATGTTCTACTGAACTATTGTACACTCTGTTCAGGTTACAGACATGCAAATATTTATAGTCATTATCTGATACATTTAAGTTTTTTATTTAGATACAATTATATTTAATACTAATATTTTCTTTTACTTGTTTATTTCTTACCAGAGACATAGTCAATGATTTTGTTGATTTTTCTTAACAGACTCAACTTGGACATCATTGATGTCTATACTCTTTACTTTGGTGTTGTTTTTATTGCTTGCAGCCAAGAGCTTGGCAAAGTCCATAGGAGCAGCAATAGAGCCCTTGCTCCTATTATTGAATTTTCTGCAGGCTTTGGCAATAATATAGGTTTCAATTTGGTTTGAGTGTTTCATAACAAATGAATCATCAAGCATATGGACACTTGTTCTGATTTCGGAATCAAGGTCAAGTACTAGATTTTTTCTATTTGATTGCAGCTTATAAAAATAAGTTTACAGTTTTTTAAAAAAATTGGCGGTTTATAAAAAAGAGTTTGCTTTTTTTTAGAATCAGTTTGCTGCCACACAGAAAACTAATTTGTATTCTATCTTACCAAATTTGCATATTTTCTTTTAATTTACGTTTTTAATTTGTACTTTTAATTTTTATTTTAGCCTCAATTTGCAAAGCTTGTTTGCACAAAATATAAATGTAAATTGTGATAAAAGAAATCTAAATTGCATATTCTTTTTTTATTTTTTGCATAGAAAAATATTTAAGAAAATGCATAAGAAAATATAAAAAATATAAAGAATAAAGATGCTAAAGATATGAGAGGTGCATAAAAAAATTCAAAAAAAGCATATAAAAATATAAATGTTAGACATACAGACCCATATCTGTACTGAATAAAATTTTAAGATTCCGCCAAATCAAGGCATCAACTTCTTTAACATTCTTACACTAGTTTGTCTATATTCACTTAACACCCCATGTTTGAAAACATATATATACTAAGATATGGCTCTTAAAAAAATAAAAAGTAAATTTATTAAAAAAATTAATAATGTGTTGACCCTCCATGAGTCTTCTTCATCTCATGTAAGCGATTAGGCATTGACATGCAATGTGTCTTGCAAACATCAGCCAGAATATTCTTTCATTCTATATGAATAGCCCTCTCCAGCTCATTAAGATTTTTTGGAGAGAGGACTCCGGCCTTCACTTTTCTGGTAATATATGTCCATAAATTCTCTATGGGGCTGAGATCTGGACTATTTGGCAGTCATACCATCACTGGGAAGTTCTGACGCTTCTTTCACTCTTCTGCAACCTTAGACTTATGACAAGAAGCATTATCTTCTTGGTAGATAAACTCCCCATCATTGTTCTCACTAAGAGATTCCATAAATGGAAGAAGCTTCCTTTTCATTAAGTCCATATATGCATACTAGTCAAGCGTGTTCTTTATGGTTTTTAATGGGCCAACTCCTCCTGCCCATACACAGCCCCAAACCATAATGGAGCCTCTACCACACTGCAGTCTTGGTCTAATGAACTCTTCTCTGTATTTTTCTTGAGAATACCGCCATACTCTAGTATTGTCATCTCTGCTGAAAAGCATAAACCTTGACTCATCACTCCAGATGATGCAATCCCATCTCTGATTGGTCTCTCTGGCATAATTAGCAAATTCCAACTGCTTCTTCTTGTGTGCTTTTGATAGCAGTGGCTTGTATACAACTTTACAAGAAGATAATCCAGATCTACAAATAGTTCGATGAATAGTAGACTTGGAGATGGGATCCCTAGGGTGTCAGACATGAAGGTGGTAAGACCCCCAAGTGTTGTCTCACGATTTGTCTTTATCTCATTAATCAAGTGACACTCATCTCGCTCATCTATTATCTTCAAAGTTTCTTTTCGCTTATCAGAAAATGCGGTTCCAGTATCTCTCCATCTATTGATTGTGGAATACACCGTTGCTAGAGATATATCATTCTTCTCAGAAATTTCAGCAGCAGTGCCATTTACTATAGCACCACCAACTATCAGTCCTCTTTGATAATCTGAAAGCTGCTTTCGTTTGGGAAGAGATTCCTTTTTGTTTTGGTGAGACATGATGAGATTCGAATGAGGAAAAGTTTTGAAAAAATAAATAAAAAGTAGTGTAATGGTGATGCCTTGATTTGGCGGAATCTTAAAATTTTATTCAGTACTGATATGGGTCTGTAATATAGAAATAAGAAGCGCATAAAAAATAAGAATATTACATAAATGAATAAATGATAGAACATAATAAATAAAATAAAATAAAAGTAAAGGTTGGTTTCTCCCTCTAAGCAAGAATCGAAGAAAGATACTGCATGTCTAATCCACCCATTACAATCTTCAACTGTCACACTGTTTACTGATTTCACAATTCTTGATATCAATTGATTGTTAGCAGAAAGTGTCTCCCTTTTGATACCAGCCTTCACTTTTGACCAAAACTCTTCAATTGGATTAAGGAATGGAGAGTAAGGTGGTAAAAACATGCATTTGTATCTTCTTTTCTCTATCAGCTGTTGTATGATCTTTGGAGTGTGTATTGGTGTATTATCCATTACCAAGTACTTGCCTTGTTGATTGCAGTGATCCAATACGTCCATAACATTTTCAATGAAATGAAGAAAGTGCTCTAATTAGATTCCAACATGGCCATTGATCTTCTCCACTTTCTTATCCAACTTGAGCTTCTTAGAGCTAACAACTGCCTGTGGTTTGCACAGGGTGACACTGATTACACCAATTTGGGAAATAGCTTCAAGAATAGTAATGTTAACACCTTGTTGCATTGATACTGTTGTTTTTGCTGGCTTTCCATGGGTGGATCTTCTAAAGTTGCATTTGATATGCATGTTGAAACCTGTCTCATCAATAAAGACGCAGTCTCTGACATAGTCAAAATCCAGATTGAAAAGCCATTCAGTTACCTTGTCCTTTCTTAACTGAATTACCTATTCTGAATTGTGAGCTGCAGGAAGTTTCTCAAGTTTCTTCAGTGTTAGACAACACTTATTCACCAAATGCTTTTGAAGGCCAGACAGAGTGATCATCAGATCTTTAAATTTTTCTAGCAGGGCAGTGCGTGCTTTCTGAATAGTTTCAGCAACATTGTTCTCAAAGCACGCAATCAGAAAGGATGAATGTTATTGTAAAAGCTTGGGAGAAGCACCAACAGTTCTTTTTCTTGTACTTCCAGGAAGACGTTGTTCTTTATCTTTTCTATACTGGGCAATATAGTTTTGGTCAGTACAAACATTAATGCCCATTTTTTGGTGGCCATCTTAGCAGTCCATCCTTTTGAAAATAAAAATAACAATTAATATTTATGCATTGTCTTTATATTACTTATTTTAGCATACCATTCTCAATAACTAACTCAAAACGTCCTTGCATCTGTTCTGGCATATACTTGCAATAAGTGCCTCTGGGCTTGTAAGGTTTTTTCTTGGTTTTTTCATTTTCTTCCTCCAAAGTGTCTGCATCAGAACCCTGTATACAAGTCTTCTCATTGGTAGTTGTCTGCTCAAAATCCATCTTTGTCACTAGAGTCTGGATTCCATTGTCAGAGTTGGGATAGGTTACTTCCCACTCGTGAAGTACAGCATTGGCCATTGTATCTGTTGTTCTTTCTTCATAATCATCAACAATGTCCATAGTAGTGGCAGCAAAGATCATGTTTATTTTTTTGGTGTTGGTGTATATGGGATGGAATGTGAATGTTTATAAAGCAAATTAATACTTTTTAACAAAACACAGACTACTTTTTATATTAATTTTGCAATAAAATATGACTTCCTTTATTTTTATTTGGTGTGTTTATTATCTACTGACAATTATTAAATAAATATTTTTCTAAATCTGTGCTAAGAGTATTATTTGATGCTTATATACATTTGTTCTGCTTACAAATATAGTAAATGTATTGTAACATGACTAGTTGTGACTGATTTCATATCAGATTATGCTTAAATTTACATTTCATTGTTAATCTCTGTCATTATTAACCCTAGTATTTGAGTTATTTTTAGCCAATTGTAAGCTGTAGATATTATTCAATGCTTGCTTAGTCCAATTTCATCTTATTACATGCTGTATGTAGCATATTACACCTTTTTGTAGCCAATTGAGTATCATACTATCACTAAAGTTACACAGCACTGTTAATCTCTGTCATTCTCTATCCAAATATTTGGCTTATTTTGGCTTGATTTTCTGCCGTGAACAGTATTTGATGATCACTGGGCAGCATAATTTTTCAGAATGTTATTTGTAATACATTACAGCTATATTCTTCTTATCTCTCAATGCAATTGTACTCATGGTTATATCACACTGCTTATATTTGCTCTTTTTTATCTAAGCATTTAACTGTTATCTTTCTCTTAATTTTATACTGTGAATCTTACTCAAGTATTATTATATTGGTTTGATCATGCTTTGGAATATAACTAAATTATATTGTTAATTTTTACTATCTCTTACACAAAAAGTATATATAGTATATCTCATATTTGTACTATATTTTCTAAGCAGGTGATTTTTACTGCATTATAGTTTATTTTATCTTGGTTTTTACTAAAATAAGCTCAAAGTCATGCTCTATTGTTACCTATAGCTTTTTCAGAAAGTATTTTTGCCGCAATTACAAATTTGTTTTCATAGGTCAGTATAGTTACTAATTTTGTGTACTCACTATTAAAGCATTTGATATCTTTTGAAGATTTTAATATTACTTACTTATTTTAATTTTGAGTTACTATATTAAATTTATTGTGCTATGGCAAAGATTTGGAAATAATATAAAAGAGTGTTAAAAATTAATTTTCATACCAATATATTTTTCAATTATTTTAAAAGCCATGTTTAACTTTAACAAGGTCAAACAATCTCAAATGCCTAACCAATTGACAATTCTTCCTCGCAATTCTGATATCATGGAGACATTTGAAGGGAATGCTGATGACCACGATTTAAATTAGCGTCCTATTCAGATAAGACCTGTTGAGTAAAGTCATTCTGCCTTGGTCAAAAAACCAATATACATGGAAGGTGTCAGCACACAAGACAAGGTTTCAGATCCTAAAGATTTGATTATGCTAGGAGATAAACCAAAGGAGAAGTGATGTTAACAATCTTATACTGAAGAGGAAACTTTGCTGATCTTGAAGAAGTATTTTGCTGATGAGATGACAATGGTGGAAGCAGGAAAAAAGTGTAGATATGCTAAGATCAACAGCCAGTTGGGTGATAAGACTTATAAGAAATAGATTAAACCTATCAGCTAGAAGATCCCGTATGCACAAGTATGTCAGTTTAGAAGAATATGAAAAAACACTATGCAAATATGTCAAAACTATGCTTTTACAAGAAAAACTATGAATAAACTATATGCCAGAATTTATATGAAACTTATAGCTACAATGTTCTTTTATTAAAAAAGCAAATATATGTGACAAGCGTAAAACAGAAATGCAAAAAATTAAAACCTATATAGATAAATTAAATGACAGAAGTAATATGAAACTTATAGTTATAATGTTCTTTTATTAAACATATAAAATATATACATTTTCCAGGAATTATTAGTCAAAAATAAAATTAGATTCGGTGCAAGAATAAATATAAAACTTAGTGCAATTTTTTGGCATTTCTTTTCTTAATTTATCTTTTTTGATGCATTTGGTAAATTCCATTTTTTCACCAATTCAATTTTTATTTTTGCACAAATAATATCCAGAAATAGTGTATACTAGCAGGCAAAACACAGAAACGCAGAAAATAAAAAATAATATGCAATTTATATTTTTTTATCGCAATTTACATTTATATTTTGTGCAAACAAGCTTTGTAAATTGAGACTAAAATAAAAATTAAAAGTGCAAATTAAAAACGTAAATTAAAAAAATACGCAAATTTGGTAGGATAGAACGCAAATTTGTTTCAGTGTGGCAGCAAACTGATTCTAAAAAAAAGCAAACTCTTTTTTATAAACCGCAATTGAATAAGAAAAATCCAGTATATCTTTGATATTTATTTTGGTTTATATTTGTATGTTAAGAGAAGTAGGGTTGTAAGATTGCAAAAAACGTTCAAAAGATGAGAATATTTCTTTTATTATATTGGCACATTAGTATTGAAAATTACAAGTGTGCTAATTGTCTTAAAAAATTTAAAAGGATTTTGAAAGTTTGTTTTTAAATTACTTTCTACTCATTTTTTCAGCCAACTTTTTCCCTTTCATTTTATTTTCCAACTGTATTTTTTGCTATGTCAACATACAAAATTACACAAATTCTTGAACATCCAGCATACTTAGAAGAGTCTAATGCTTTAATAAGACATAAAGTTTCTTTATTGGAAAATAGATGTGAATCTTTGACCAAGGATTCCAAAACAGAACAAGTTCTGTCGACTAGAGACAATGCTTCAAATGCAATTCTGCTGTTGTCTACAACTGATGACTGTGACATCAAATGCCTCTCATATAAATGGAACCCAGATGGTTGGAATCAGTTGGTTAAATGCTTCAAGCAAGTGTTGGCGACACATTTTACCAGAGGTGATCTTATCAAAGCCTAAAAAGTGTACAAAGTATTTGGGAAGATGGCTTGAGAGCTAGTTTACTACTCCTTCTCCAAGTGCAGTACCAATAATATTGCCATACCGTCATGGGGCTGTCTGGCAGATGACCAAAAGGCAATAATGAGCAGCAGCCTCAAAAAGAATGCAGCCCTGAAAAACATTTCTCCTCACAGGTTCCAAAAATCTTTAGAGCATTGCTCATACTCTCTCACAAGTGGAGAACTGCCAAATATCATAGAAGATCTTATTGACAAGTAAGATACTTATAAATATAAAGTCATTTATATGTTTAATCACAACTAATAAAAATTAACTGTTTTGTTTTGTTTTGTTCTGTTTATTAGAGTAGATAATACTAACTTTTATACTTTTAATCTATAGTAACCTCATAAAAATATTATTTTAAAAGATAAATTTATGAAATACAATATAATTTGTTTATTACCTTGTATACTTCTTCCATTATTTTGTATGTTTTTTGTGGTTGTTTTTATAGTTTTTTTTGTCTTTTTTTTTAAAAATAAATAAATATATTTCAGAGACCAAAAATAAAAAATAAAAATGAAAGCAAATTCGCCCATAATGTATTACATAATTTTGACCAATGAGTGAATAGTTAAATTTACTCCAACAAAATCTAGCTTATTTTAATATATATATTTTACTGACTGGAAAGGGTCGTACAACTATAAATAATGTTCAAAGTCTTGATATTTCATAGATCCAATTTGCTAAGAGATGTAGCACTAACAGAGTTATAATTGATTTTTATTGGGTCATTGAGAATGTATAGTTTTGCACATAATCGCTTGAAATGTGCACTGTGGAACAACAATTTGTGACATTTCCTACAGTATCATCTTCTCAACAATTCTTCTGTTCCAAGTAAGTAAGAAATTGTTGCTGACTTTGTACACAAAGCCTAAATTCATGGATTTTTCTCAAAAATTTATTCTTGTCGGATTCAAAAAATATATTTTTGAGATTGGCCTTGAGCTCATACTTGTATTTGCTAAGTTGTTCTGATGTGTATAAAGTATCAAATTTTACTTTGCTGTCTAAGAGCATCCTCAGCAGTTACATTTAAATCCAGCTTTAAACAAAATATATGTACTTTAGCAAATGTACCCAAAAAAACAGCCCCAGCAGTTATATTTCCAAAAACATTTAATAAAAAATTTGGCAAATTTACTGCCTGCTCCATGGATTTTCATGTACTTTTTTAAAAAAGTGTTTTTGCGTTTTAACTTTCTTTGATTTTTCTTTGAGTCCAACAATAGGATATAATAATAGCTAGAAAATGTTTAGAAATTATATTTGTTACAAAGCTGACAATCTAAGGAATATTTGGCTTGCATTTTTAAGATTATAAAGAGAAGACAAATGTCTAATAAAATGACTTTAGAAAAAAAAATTGTAAAGAAGATTATATTAGATAGTGAGGTCTTGAAAAAAAATAGCAAATGATACTGAAATTTGGCCCACCATTTTTTGACTATTTTAAACTACTAAAATAGATTAAAAACATTTGAAAAAAAGAAGAAAATTTAACTGCTGGAGATGCTCTAAGTTATGTTGTCAGACATGCAAAACATAAAATTCGCAGTAATAAATGATGGTTTGTGACAATGTTGCTATAATTTTATTAACTTCAGCAATATTATAATCGATAGTAATATATAAGGGAGTGAAACAGCTTTTCTTGTGAAGATGTGCAAGTTGTTAATTTATGTGGCCAATATAATGATTATTTGTAATTATGTATGTAACAGAAGATTCTTCTCCAGTATCAGGATGACAAGTAACAAGCAAATATAATATTTCAATATTGCATGAAGACAAAATAACTGGAAAATTCTCATAAGCATCATCTTAGATAGTGATTGAAATTCAAATGCAAAATGCTGTGCATTGTTCCTGTATGCAGAAAGATTGCCAGTAAAGATACAATAATTCTGTGATAGTAGCAACCTTAGTGCATTTGGACTTTTCAAATATTTTTTCAAATATTGGGTACTACATTGTCTTTGTCACACCAGATTGAATTGATCAAATTTTCAAGTCTGTCTATATATATCATTGGACATGTAATATGACTAAAATTACAAGCGGTAATATTAAATAATTTCATATCTTTTTGCTAATACTTTTTAAAGGCAGTTTAAAGCAAAACTTAGAAGAATATAATTGATTACAAATTTGAAAAAACACACTTCTTAGCAAGCAAAACTTGAAAAATAAAAGACCCATTTTTTCAAATTTCTCTTGTCTAGTTACACTTGATTTAAGGTTATAATTTGAACAAATAACTTAAATTTTCTTATAAAGAAATTCATTTAGTTTTTTCAAAAATGCACTAAGGTCACTAGTAACCTCTCACACATCCAAATATCCAGATACTTATTTTTATCAGGGTGAAACTTATACAGTAAATTCTTCATCTATATTTTTATTTAACACTTTTTAAATAACTTCTCTCTTATAGTATTATTCACACATCTTTCTCATTCTGTTATGGATGTCTTCATAATTGGGCTTTCGAATGTCTATACCCCACTCTTCAATTTGTTTCAAAACTGAAATTCTAGTACTTCTACAAGTGCTACCCCCTTTTAACTGATCTTCAATAATTTTGATGACCTCAGAAGGTAAAGGCAATGTTCTAATTTCAGAAGCGTCACCAGAAACATGGTTGGTATAATCGTTAGTCATACAAATTAAAACTACTTCAGGGTTGTTGACGTATTCACTGGAAAAATGACCTGACATACGTATGTGTAAAGGCATAGTTACTCAGGTGTCAAGACGGGGTTTAACATTGAGTCCAGATACATATCACTATGTAACAAGTTCGTCTTAGCACCATGTGCCATGACCAGTTATACACATGTGTGAGGTCAAATAAAAATGACGGGGATATAGTTCTTTAGCACTTTTGGTGTGTTAATCTGACTTGGGATATTGAAAAGAGTTTTTTGAAACCAAGGTTTTATTTTTATATGTTTTATATGGAGCTTTAAAGGTGGATAATATATTTATTTTCGATCTTGACACAGTAGTATAGTTCAACATTACACCTCTTCGTTATCTTTTATATTCAATTAAATTCAATACTTGACCAATTCTTTGGATTCTCAGCCATAGTATAGTTCAATCGTTTTTATTTTAATTTCAGAAATTGTTTTATTAGTAAAAGTTTATAATAGTATTTATTTGAAAAGAACAGAATGTTTCTAGAACTATAACAATCTTATAGTATTGATTTATTGAATATCCATTATTGCTTCTACTGGTCTGCTTGATACTGTTTGAATAGAATAATTATCTACAGAAAAGAAATACCTGAAAATATAAAAAGAAAGCAGACTGTTTGTTGAAATACAACAGTCTTTAAGAAGCATAGACAAATTATTAGCTATGTGTGCTAGGTACTATATTTAATGTAGTATGCTTTTACATTTTGTGTACACTTTTATACTTACATTGTAAATATTGGAAAAGAGCAAGCAAAAAATAGATGTCGATATTGATAATCCATGGCATTCCTTATGATATCTTTCACTATAAAAACAATGAAAAACATTAATTTTTGTGAATCGAATAAAATAATAAATAATTTACATACCAGTAGCAAGAATATATATTAACAGAGATAGATTGTCTTTGTAAACACTTGATAGAACTCTAGTGAAAAATAATAATATTTTATGTTAACACATTATAATATTAATATAACTAAAATAAAAAATAAAGTAGTGATCCTTACTATGTAATGTCATTTCCAGCTGTATAATGTAAGGGGAATCAAAGATGGGATCAACAGTATTCATCTATAATAAGACTTAATTTTAGTAAGATACATATTAAAATAATATATATATATACACTACCTTGATGTTTTTAACCAAATTCATTTGTAGCAGTTATTCTTGATGATCAAGTCTGTAATAAAAAAAACAAGTCAGAAGGATTTTTATAGATGTTAATTTCGCAAAATATAATATTGACCTTTGTTAATCTGGACAGCGATTGTGAAATGAATGCATTTAAATGAGAGCAAATGAGTATCTATTATGATAATAAAAGAATGTATTAATTTTTATTGTTTATAAAAAAGTATTTAATAAAGAAGTATGTTACCAAAAAAAAGCCACTAATATAATAATGACAAACGTTGGAAAAGAGGAAAAGAGCAGAAAAGAAGAAATAAAAAGACGTAAATTTTTTTTCCACATTTGAAACAAAATACCGAAAAGCTTATCCAATAAACGATAGCAAAAAAAACTGAAAAGAGGTGATCAATTGAGGCCAAAAAATATATCAAGGCCGATTTGCATCTCAGTGTTTCAAGAAGTTGTCTTTGAAGTGTTCCTGAAGCATCACTACTGTCTATAAATACTTAATATTTCTATTTGCAATTCAATGTCACTCACTCTTGATTATATCATCTCAACAAATCTATGTTGCAAATTTACTGTAATTTACATAACAAAATAGATGGATTATCTCTTACAAAAGAGAATAAAAAAGAAAAAGAACTGATATTAACAATTGAAAATACACCCGGCTTAGGGTGAAATTGACTTACTTCCAACTCCGCCATGACTTCTTTCTATGCAAGAAGACCATCCTCTATTTTCCTTTTATTTTAATTCTGTAATCTCTCTAATAAAACAAATCACAATGCCAAAGAACAATAAAGCTAAAACTACCAACTCATATTATAAGACAACAGATTTCGAAAAAGGGATGATTATTAGAAGATATAAAGAAGGATGTAGCTCCTATGAGATTTCACATGCAGAAGGCATACCCCAATCAACTGTTTATTATATAATTAAAAAATATGAGACAAAGAAGACGTGCACTGAGAAGGAGCATCCTGGGGTCTCTAAGAAGCTATCACCATGGGCAATTTGTTATTTGAAGTTCACCGCAAAAAAAAATAGACGCAACACATTAGCTACCATCACGCGCAGTGTTAAAGAGATGCATGACATCTCAATCAGTCAAGCAACAGTACGCAAATATCTGTACGATATGGACCTTCGCTCTTGTGTTGCTGTAGCCAAGCCTTACCTAGATGAAGCACATAAGAAGGCATGCTTGCAATGGGTTATGGAGCGAAAAAATTGGAATGATGAATGGACATCAGTAATTGGGAGTGATGAGTCCAGATTCACCCTTTTTCAGAAAGGTGGACAGCAATATGTTTGGCGCCAACCGCATGAGAAGTATGAAGATGACTGTCTGGTACCAGCAGTGCAAGGGTTGGGTGGTTCAGTATCAGTTTGGGGATGTATTTGGGCAGGAGGTGTTGGCCCACTAGTTATATTAGATGACTACATGACAAAAGAAATGTATGTCCAGACACTGAGGGACAACTATCTCCCATTTCTTGCTGCCCTTCCTGACAAGGACACCACCACCTACCTTCTCCAAGAAGACAATGCCAAACCACATAAGAGCAAGTTGGCGGAACAGTGGAAAAAAAGAAACGATGTGGCTATCTTACCATGGCCTGCAAAAAGTCCAGATCTCAATCCAATTGAGAATATGTGGAGCTACCTTGATAACAAGGTTAGAGATAGAAGACCCCAGCCTACTACGTTAAAAGAACTAGAAGTTGCTTTGTTGGAGGAGTGGGCAGAAATCACAGCAAGTACTTGTGTGAAGTTTTGTCTGAGCATTAAAGATCATATGATATTAGTTGGGAAGAAGTATGGAGGAGCTATTAACTATTAAACCTCTATCAATTTTTACTATAAATAAGCAACACATATTACAAAATCTTCCATTCATTTTTTGTCTTTAAGGATCATGTCTTTGAGAACTTATTTAACCTTAAAAAACAGAGGTGTACTTCTTTGATTTTAGTGGAGTTGGAAGTAAGTCAATTTTACCCTAAGCCAGGTGTATTATAATGTATTACAGATAATGCCTACCCCCAACCGCAGACTCGTTCCTTCTCTTGCTAGCACTGATGTCCAGTTGCTACAAGCTTTGAATGCGATGAAAGAAGAGAAGAAGGCCATGAAGGATAAGATCACATTGATGGATACAAGAATTGGTGTAGTGATCACCAGTAACGCAATCGCCATTAATGGCATTGATGCCTTGTCTGCCCTCACAGCACCTGCTCATGTACCCACTAGTGTTGCATCCACTTCTGCTGCCCTTCCCACCACCGAATCAAGTGATACTAACGCTGTATTTGTAAGTATAAAGATACAAAAGACACTTGCCGATCTTGTTGCTAATTAAAATATAATAGGGATACATTCATGGTTATATGTGGAACCCAAAGCTAAAATCAAGAGATCAGGTAGAAATCTAAGAGAATGCCATAAAACCAAAGTGGGCAGTTGATGTTCATTTTGATTGCTCTCCAAATAGAGAGTTAGTCAAACAACTCTTGTATTACTTGGAAAAGAAGTTTGCTGGCACTGATATGAGGACATGCAACCTTTGTAAGTGTATATACACAAACTTCTGTAGTAGACGTTGCCACCAAAGGGAACTTCCAGAAACAAGACGAGCCTTGAATACTAATTCAAGAAGATCTGGCTGTGAAACTGATGTAAACTATATTTTCAATTTATGCTAAATAATAACAATTAGAATATTAATTGTATTGTTTTTTTCCTTTAGAACTACACCTGCCGTTGCCTTGCTTATGATGTTAACAAGGCTGACATTGATCTCAAGATGGGTCGAAACTGCTCTGGTCTGATCCAAAAGTTGGTAATGTCTGAAGGCGAATCAGATGATGATATGTCCCCCTCTCAGCCAAGAAATAAGATTCGTGTTGCTCGCTCAAGTTGGAGAAGTGACAAGATAAAACCTAACAGTTTTCTTTTTTGAATGATGTCAGGCTGAATATTAATATATGTTTATTACTTAGCTTAACAAATTCATTACGGAGGTTGACTCGTTTGTTGTTAAGCAATTGGGTGCAAATTCCCACCAACTGCTTAAAGGAGTTTATGGTAGAACAGTGGAATCAACAGTCCCAATTGATTTAGATCTTGCTCTATCTCAATGGGCTCTTAAATATGGGTCATAAATAAAACTCATTTTTTGTCATTTTTTTCTTTTACTCTCAAAATTTCTTAACACATATGTATTGTTTGCAACATATATAATAAGACTACATTAGCTTATGTATTGAAATTTTCTATTAAAAAAGAAATATATTAAATATTAATTGTATTGTTTGTGTGGTAAAGCGTTGACAAGTATTTTCTTATTATTTGTGCTGGTTTTATAATCACATGTTGCAACAACTGATGATATTTGATGTACTGACAAGATACATTCAAAATCACACGCAATAAAATCTGCACTGCAGATGTCAACACTTTCCAACTCTCTTGAACGGTCATGCTCAATCTGGAACCACTTAACAAATGCAAACACGTGTTTATCTTGATAAACGACACGTGTTTGGAGCTCTGTGTTGTCTACTGGTGGAGTGAAAGAGTACAAGAACAGATACTAAATTTAGTCAGTGTATGCCAACCGATTATTGCCTTGACTTCCAAGGAACAGAGATTGAACAAATGAGCAGTGACCAGAAGTATATTTGCAGCCTTTATAAACCTGGCCAAGCAAATTGATTGATTTCAACTTTATGATTTGGTTGTTGACAAATGAGAACGAAGAGAAGGGATGCTAATAACCTTCAAGATTTGACATGCAGTATGTGACTTTATAGTAATCAAGCAAATAAGGATAGTTGGCATCACTCATTGCTGATGGGGATTCAATATGGAGAGGAAATGCAGATGGAGGAAGGGATTCATTGCCAAGGACTGGAAGAGAAGGGTTTGAGTATGCTTGGATGAAGGCTGATAGTCTGAACAGATGCTGAGGAAAAGTTATTGTATTTTTTGAAGTGGAGGGTTGAGCTGTGGCAGTAAGCTTGGCAAGAAGAGGAAGAAACGGTACTTGGCTTGGGTATGTGAGAGCAGCATGAACGAAATCACTTTTGCATGTATCTTGGATGAAACTATTCATGTATGTAACCTCAAAGGGATCTTTTCTGTTTGTATTCACGTTCTTTAGCAGACAATTATATTGCTCAAACCTGAAGAGCCAATATCTATATACTGGTCCAAAATCATGGATGGTCTCGCAAAGATGGAGATGTAAATGCATGTTATAGGTGAGAATAGTTGGAGTGTAAATACACTGCCACTCAGTACAGAATTCTTGAAGAAATTTATGGCTGTCATCAATGTCAGAGAACGTGATGCTTGGCTTTACTAATTGTCAGCAGGCATCAACAAAACTGATCCAATTTCTGAACATTTCAATTGGCAGGACAGCCTTCAACAAGATAGGCAAATACACTAGCACCCAGGACTTCCATTCATCAGCTTTCATGTATGGAAAGCCCTTTCCGATCTTCGATTTCAACACCACATAATCCATTGGCACCATCATTGTCTCTGCCATTGTTTGCATTGTAGCTAGCTTTCTATTGTCTATCAGTCCTTCTTTTATCCACCGCTCCATCATTCTCTTTGGTGTCCCCAGGAATAAATTATGCATGGGATTGATGATCGTTCCATATACTAGATCAAAGTATCCAAGGCGATGCAGCTGCGACCATCGAACACCATTTTCGATTTCCAACTGATGCCTTTCTGAGGGCGTACTGGCACTCTTCCACTCCTCAGCATGCAACCTGTTTTCCAGACCGCTACGGATTTTCCACATCGAATAGTCGAACTCACTGAAGTCGACCTGATTGGTGCTTGGTAACCTGGCAAACTGCCTCACACATCTGAGGCATGCACAAGTACTGTTGTGGGCGGTGAATCCACTGGTCTTCCTGACGGTGGGGATGTCACAGGCAACCATATGTAAAGCGGCATGTACATTAACACCGGCTGGGCACTCAAAGGTCGGGATGGTTATCCCCATAAACAACTGCAGCAATTCATTGACTATTGGCTTTAAATAGTGATTGATCTCTTTGGCCTTTGGCTCCTTAGGACCAGGCATCAAACCAACAAGGATGATATTTTCAGGCTTAAATCTTTTCTCACAAGGCAAGTTATTTATTGCAAGGTAGATAGCTCCAGTTGAATATGTAATGCCGTCAAATGGCTGGAACCAGTCAATGTTCATTGTTAGCATCAATGAACGAGGTTCATCCACAAACAATATGTCACTTTGGTCCTTTAGCTCCTTCTACATAGCATCATCATAGACGTTGCATAGTGTATCTACGACCTTAAGCTCTTTGTTCCATTGTCTGATTTTTTGCTCAAACCCAGAATCAAGAAAGAAAACTTGTAATGATCTCTGAATAGAGTTGTAGACGTATGATCGCTTGGCTACCATGGCACCAGAAGATAAAATCTTCATCAATTCGCAATTGCATGCTGATTGAGAACCATGCTTTTTGAAGTCACAATGAGTAGGGAGAGACACATCTTGTTTGTAAACCTTGTGGCAGTCTTCACATACAACAGACTTCTTGATACCATTGGGGTAATTGGAAAAACCAGTCATTTTTTGCAGGCCAATAAGACTTGTTGGTAATTGGAAATCTTCATTATATATCTTGAGTAACTGATTGATAAATTCAATCAATATGGCAGCACCTTTGTTAACAATATAATGCGAGATAAAAAGAATGGCAAAGGTAGCAATGAACCAATGGACAGGGTTTTCAGGCATGTTAGGAGCATCAAATGAGTCTATTTAAAATTAACAAAAATAAATTAGAACAAATTTTCTTTAGGTCTGTTTTTAAGAAAACAAAAGCATTTATGACTGACCTTTATTAACAAACTCTTCAACGTCTGTCTTGACACCTTCTTCTTCACCACTTCCAGAGTCAGAGTTCATGTCTCTTTCAATGTCAGAGTCATTGCCATTGACCTAGCTGATCTCATCTTCTACCGAGACATTATCAGCCATTGTGGCAGCATTCGAATCAGGTGAGTCGGCCTGATCGTCTTTTTTTTCAATGGATTCAGATTGACAGGTCGGGATATATACAAATATAGATTAGTTTAGCTTATTGTCTCTACTGGTTTTCAAATATTTTTTTTCTTTTCTTTTCTTACATTGAGTATCAACGTCTATCATTTGTTCTTCTTGCACAGCTATGTTTCATTAAAATTAAAAAAATAAAGAAGTTATTAGTCAATAATCAAAAAATAAACCCTAAATATAACATACTATTTGCCAATCTTTCAGTTGTATCCAGTCTCTCAATTCTCTCAAGCTCATCTTTTCTAATATGGTGCTCAATGGTTCTGCTTGTCACCAATGAGTATCCCTGTGAATTTCTGCTACATTGAGCACAAAGGCAGACAACATTACAGCGGTAGAGAATAGAAGGCATTTTATGTGTTTTGTTTGATGTGATTTATTAAGAATAAAAAGAAAAACAAGCATAAAATATACTTTATTTGCACCGACTTTATAGTAAAAAAAAGCATTATATTTTATGGTTATTTAATTGAATTCTTCTAACAAGTTCTTTTTTATATTATTAAATATAGAAAGAGACATGACAATTATGATATTATCAATTCATAGTCTTTATTCAAATGTTTTTAAGAATGTCTGTTGCGTGTAAAAGACATATATTTTTCTACTATGAGTTTATAAATAGATTATTGCGAGAGTAAATCCAGAAAATAGTAGGAATAAAAAAAAAGGTGGTAGTATGAGAATTATGATAGGTCTCTGTATGTGAATTTAGCCTTCTGTACCAGACTGATATTCTAAAATTCTGTTAGTCAATGAAACCAACTAAAACTACATCTTTGACCTGAACTTCAAAAAACATACTGAGTTGAAAAAAATCACTATTTCTCCACATGTGTTTACCAATCTGGCCACATTGTTAATTAGGGTGGTTTTTCCAGTGATTGCTTGATGAAAATAGTGACTTTGCAATAACAAAACTTAGTGTCTTTCCGAGCAAGATGAACATTTCTGTCTGATATATAAAATCCTGCTTGGTGACATTTTTTGTCTCTCCATACATCAATTCTCTTGCACAAAGTTTTCTACATTTATTCCACTTTGTTGAACAAAATGATTGAATGCAGTCAAGGCATTGCTCCCATTCACTTGTTTTTACTTTTACTACAACATCCAAATGAAGTATTTTTATTCTTTCTGTAGGTGAGTTGACTAAAGCATTCTGCACATTTGAAAGGTTGAATATAGTGTTGGACATTGGTGAGCTCGTATTATGATAGCATATGTAATTAAAATAAAGAGGAGAGAAAAAAAAATATAGCAAAAAAAAGTTTTAACAAAAGTCATCTTACAAAATCTCTATATGGAAAAGCCACATTTTTATAATTTAAAGCCCCTTGTGACATAAAAAAGTAGACTCCCCAAGTAATTTAAACTTGGCACGCAAGGAAATAAGTAAGTATTAATATAGTTAAAGCTTAGTTTAAATTTTTTTAATTCAGACTTTTTGACTTATGTAATGTTTGTATTTATAGTAAATGTTGACAGGTGATATGTTATTACGGTTTTCAAGACTTGAATGGGTTCATAGATATGAAATAACATCTTTTTTCCACAAGGGAGAAAAAGACAAAATCAAAAGAAAATGTAAAATTAAAGATAATAAAATCAATAAGAGAAAATTAAGAGAAAAACAGTACTATTGATCAATTTTAATATATTTGACTCAATATACTCAGATAATCAAACAAGTAAAATATCAACAGCATTAAATATTAAGAGAACTTGTTGTCAGAAAATAAGATGAAGAAAAATCAATGTTTATTAAAGATAAGTATTGTAATATTTATAGTTCTGCAATTGACTTGTTAAATAATTAAATAAATAAAATTATAAAAAAAATACGATAAAAGTTGTATAATCGATGATCTATTAAATGTGATTTGTTCTTTACTATCATTAAGTACAAATAAAATAAAATAATTATTAAGTCATAATCATGAAAATAATTATGCCTGTAAGAATATATAATAAAAATAATATTAATTTCAAGTTGATTTGTTCAGTTAAATATAGTGAGAAAATAAGATACAATATGTGGTTGCCTGAAGTTATTGTTGACAGGATGATGCCTTTTCGTTGTACTTATTGGTGTTTTGCTCTACAAATAGAAAAAATTGCTTTCTATTCAGCCTTGGCCGCCGTCAGAAAATCAAAAAAATAATAATAGAATATAATTTTCTAGAATTACAAAGAGTTCTGCAACATCACTGCACTGACGGACAACCGATATTTGTTTATCGTTGCTCATTTTTATTATTTTTCTTGTTAAAAGTAACAATGCCCGGCTAGCTCAATCGGTAGAGCGTGAGACTCTTAATCTCAAGGTTGGGGGTTCGACCCCCCCGTTGGGCTTTACTTTTTGTCCGATGTTATTTGTTTTGCCTGTTGTCATGCCCGAATTCTTGTCAGCCAATGAGAATGACAATTACACGGAATTCTCTTTTGAGAACGACAACTGAAGTGATTTCCTTTTGCTCACAAAAGAATTATAAAGCACATAGCTTAATAAAAGTAGAATAGAAACCGAAACAGACATTTATAATGACTGGGTAGGTCTAGAATACATATAAAAGAGAATGTTATTTCATTCAATAAAAGTTATCTATCTTTCTATCCTCTTTTTATTCTTTTATCTTTGTTTACAATTCCCAGTGGGTTTGACCAATTTTGGCTGTGTTATAGCATTGGAAGAACAACTCAGATCGAAAATGACACTGTCAAGTCTCAATCTAATATTTCTTTTCTGGCAATTGTAACAAAGTCGCAGAATTAATATCACTGGGGATCGTCAAGTTTATGAATAGTTTTTAGATAGAATCAAAGATATTTTTTATTAAATATATTTCTTGACTATTTATACAAAATGATAATTGATTTCTGGTTAAAAGAATAGCTATAATAATATGTCTTAGATACTTGTTGTACAATAATATCTTCTACAAGTATATTTATCATAAACATCTAAAACATATATGAAAGGCCAACTGGCAAAGTCAAGATCTTTTATCCTAAAAAGTCAACTCTTACTAGTTGCTTATAACTACCAATTTTGTTCACCAATATCAACTCTGACAGATTGGTTGACAAGAATTTGTTGTTTTTGATCTGGGTTGATTTTCCTTTTACTATAACAAAGTTAAAAGATTAAACCCACTGGAGATCAAGGAGTATATGTAAAAACAAAGATAGAATTAAAGATACTTTTTATTGATATGAATTGAATTTGTTGTGGTGGTTGAAGTTGAAGAAGTTTTTAAGAGGAAGAATTCAAGATTTGAAATTAGGAACGAAGATTCGTGAGAACTTGTGTAGGTTTTGTTTATTGAGAAAGATTTTGTATCAAAGTTTGACGAGGTTCCTACACTGAACTACTACTGCTATTTATATTGTTTTGGATTGGGAAAATTATATGACTGGGGTCAGGTAATCGATCCTATCTGAGCCTTAATCAGAGCAACGTGATCTTGGGATAATTAATGTATGATTAATTATATAAATGTGTGTAGTCCCAATGAAGTATTAACATCGAAAGTAAATGTGTTTATGAGTTATAATTATGCTTATAATAATCCACTGATGTATCCCATATTATAGTGATATCATCATATGAAATATAATCACTATCATGCATGCTAAACCTGTGTGTTAAATAATAAAGTAATCGGTAGACACCTTTGACTGGAATAGCTGAGGCCTTATATTATTTCCTTCAGACTTATTCTCAATTACAGCAGTAGTCAATACTCATTTACAACAGAATTGTCTTATATAATTTTCTAAACTAATACTGTGCATTATTCGCAGTAGCTATTATATTACATTTAAATAAAAAAATAGTCATTATACTGTGGTTAATGCTCAGGAAGATGTTGTTGAGCATTATTTTGATGAATCCATAAAATCTATAGTTAACTGCAGTACTTCTTTATGCGCAGTAATATCTTCCTGAGCATTAACTGCAGTATAATGACTATTTCTTTAATTAAATATAAATAATAACTACTGTGGATAATGCGCAGTATTAGTTTAGAAAACTATATAAGACAATTCAATTCATATTGTTGTATTCAACATAATCGTAGATTTAAATAGAGCACACAGACAATAAGACAAAGACATATTGAATAAGCAACCAGTATTAATTATACGTTATTTCTCACACTATCATTAAATAAAGAATATACTGATAACAAGGTCACGCACCTTAGTCAACATCACTAATCACTCAAACAAGAGCGTGGGTAATAACTTAACAATATATTATCTATGATATAAGAAAACAGACATCACATGATATACTCATATCATTATCCTAAATACACACGCAATGTCTATATAAACTCACATAGCAAACAGCAATAGAAGATCATCTCTCTTTTCATCAATAAACAAAGTCTCACCGTACTTCTCGTCTGCACTTTGTTTTTCTTTCTTTTCTAAAAATATAACACATATCAATAAAATGTATCTTTTATCTTCTCTTTGTTTTTACATATACTCCTTGATCCCCAGTGGGTTTGACCTTTTGACTTTGTTATAGTAAAAGGAAGACCATCCCAGATCAAGAACGACAAGATTTTACAAATTCATCAAAACAATGCCTGATAGTACAAAAAACGAGTCTTAAATTGTTTGCCACAAGTGTGGATTGAACACACGACCTTTAGATCTTCAGTCTAACGCTCTCCCAGCTGAGCTATTGCGGCTGCTCTAGAAATTGTCACGTGTGTTGTCAACAAAAACAAAGTTAGCCAGTTTCTGGTGATGGATACTGGACAGTGGATTCCTTTGGTGGTTTGGTCCGGCGGTGAGCCATGATGGGTGGTACCGGACTCATGGGCGTTGACGTCGATGGTGAGTCGACCAAGTGACGTGTCTCGAGGGACAAGAGTGGTCCCCCAAGGTTTCTTGGGAAATCCTACTCCCGATACCTCTTATACCCAAACACTCAAAATTTAATCTCGTTCCTTAAAATTAGAATACCCATCTGTATCATCACCTCAGAAACACCTGTCACCCACTAAAAACATTATGCCTCTTTCCTCTAATTTCATACACTTCTTTATTGCTGACATTTATTTACACTATTTTTTATTACATTTTATTAGATTCCATTATTATATTATTATTATATTTTTTACTTTATTTTACTACATTGTTATTATATTATTATTTTACTTCTATTCTACCTCACTATATTTTTACTTTACCTTTATTTTATTACTATATTTTTACTACACTTTTATTTTATTCTCTTTATATTTTTCTATTCCACTTTTACTATCAACACCAGTTACATGTAGTAAAAATTTTTAATTGACTTTCTTTTCTTGTCCTCAAAAAATTATTTTAACCAAATATTTTTGTTTATAAAAGGAACAAGCTTTTCAATCAATAAAATCATTATTCTATTCTTAATCTTATTTATTTTTGTCCATTATTATCATTATTTTTCATTCATACACAGTGTTCTTGTTCTTTGGAGTGTTGTCTGTCGATTTTGATTAATTTTGTTTCTCTGTTCCCCCTTTTCTGTCTTTCTCAAACTTTGTTGTTGTCATAATTTCTATTTTTTTATCTTCTTCCTATTTTTTTTTACCTGTCTGTCACCAATTCTTATCTGTCAAATTACCTATTCTTTTTTATTCTTATCGTATTCTTCTTTTTGTATTTTGTAATTCACATTATATTTATTTGTCAAGTGATACTGTTATAATTCATAACAAACAAACATGTCATGCATCAAATTGGAGGTTGTGCCAAGGAATTCTTTTTCAATTTTTAAACTTATCTTATGCAAACCATGCTGTACAATATGCCCTCTTCTTCTTCTCTTGCTTCCCTGGGAGAACATAAATCATCCAACATCTCCAAGTACCTCTTGGTTCCAGAAATCTTTGTCAGTGGCCAGAATGGCGAGTCTCTCTCCTGTTTGCTGCATATGGATCAACTAAAAAAAGATGTTGGTATGACTAACAAAGAAGCAATCCTGGTGGTGGGCCATCCATGAGGCCAAAGTCACGACGTGGAAAGTCTTCTCAGAGGAGTTTAAGAAGCAGTTTGCCTCCTGGCAGATGGAAAATGTCTGGTGGACTGAAATGGACGAAACCAGACAAGGCGCAGAACAAAGTGTTGGTGACGTGGCCCTCTGCCTGCAGGAACTCTTTGGCCTGGTTTCTTTGGCCAATGAGGCCCAGAAAATCCAGATTCTGTTGAAGGCTCACCATCCAGAGATTGCTTATGAGGTGGAGAAGTCTGGTCTTCCTCGCTCCTGGGACAAGTTGGTTTGACAAGCCGCCAAGGTAGAGGCGGTCAAAAAGAAATATTGTCTGTTGTAAATGAGTATTGACTACTGCTGTAATTGAGAATAAGTCTGAAGGAAATAACATAAGGCCTTAGCTATTCCAGTCAAAGGTGTCTACTGATTACTTTATTATTTAACACACAGATTTAGCATGCATGATAGTGATTATATTTCATATGATGATATCACCATAATATGGGATACATCAGTGGATTATTATAAGCATAATTATAACTCATAAACATATTTACTCTCGATGTTAATACTTCATTGGGGCTACACACATTTATATAATTAATTATACATTAATTATCCCAAGATCACGTTGCTCTGATTAAGGCTCAGATAGAATTGATTACCTGACCCCAGTCCTATAATTTTCCCGATTCAAAATAATATAAATAGCAGTAATAGTTCAGTGTAGAAACCTGGTCAAACTTTGATACAAAATCCTTTCTCAATAAACAAAACCTACACAAGTTCTCACAAATCTTCGTTCCTAATCTCAAATCTTCAATTCTTCCTCTTAAAAACTTCTTCAACTTCAACCACCACAACAAGATTTTTATTACATAAATTTTATTTTAAGTTTTTTAACAATATTGTATATTAAAGATATGCTCTATAGTTATTTACTATGAAAAATGACACTTATTTAAGATATGCAATAAAAATACACATATCTTTCTTTAAATGTATTTTCAAGACATCTCCAAGAATTTCCAAGAATTGCCAAAACATTTTCAAGATATGCCCAAGAGAATTCTAAGGCGTTTCCAAGGATAAATAGGCAAGTTAACACTTGACTATCATAGAAAGCCAAGAATTTTTGTTTATAGAGATCAAAGTCGATTATAGACACAAGCCATGAAATGATGGAAATTAAAGAGATATAAATACCACATTAAAAAGTATGTTTATGGAATATTTATACTTCTTTTATTATACAAAGTTCCAAAGCTTCAACCATGCCCAGAAACAACAACTGCCTTATTGAATGCAAGTGCTCTGTCTGCTCTTGCGCTGTCTGAGACTATATGTATATGTCTGCTCAGACATACCAAAGACATACAGAAAAAGATTGACAGGATTACATTCAGAGAATATTATCTTGTATGTAAAGAATACTTCTCTTCATTTTCAATTTTAATCTAATACACATTATATTATAGCAATTTCTACAGAAGTATATCATACAGAAAATGATATATACATGGATATTGAAATTGAAGTAAATGATGTTAAAGAATATCCAGATTAAAATTCTGGAGAGCATGTTGAAGATAAACCTATAAATTGTTTAAGACTATGCAATCAAATAGTATATCTAACTCTTTATATAATGATTCTCTCATAGAATTCTATGACTTACTTATTTCCACTGACAATAACATCTTTGCTGACCAAAGCAATGATGACAACAATAGCATTGATTTGGACCTCTTTGAAGAACTTGAAAAGTCTCAAGAATTTGATGGTCAGTAATAAAAAAATAAGCAAAATATACTGTATATTAATAGATTATCAAATAGATCACTACTATCTATTGAATATGCCAGAAGATCCAAATCTTGCCTTCATTGCTTCTTTTGTTGCCACATTTATATCAAAATATGTGGTAAATTCTGGTGGTGTCATACTGCTAAAGTTCATCAACGAGGTTCTGGTGCATTTTGGACAGTCCTTCCATCTTCCCTTGAGCTTGAGTGGTCTCAATTCCATGACAGGAATCGATTTGTTGACTAGAGGCTTGCATTGTTATGTTGCATGTAGTGAATGCAACAGTGTTTATCTTGAGTCCACGTCTGTCCCTCTGTATTGTGATGCTTGAAAGCTTTCTGGACCAGTTTGTGAAAACAATCTTTTCTTGAGAATCGCTGCCAGCTTGCAACGCCCAAGAAAATTGTATATATACAGCTCAGTTACAAAAATTTTGCATACTCTTTTCTGCTATTCTGGATTTGAGGAATTGATCAACCTTTGGAGATCTAGACAGCAAGTTCCAGGAACTCTATTTGATATCTATAATGATGCGAAATGGAATACTCTGAAAGATAACATGAATCAGCAGTTTGTATGTGATGAATGATCCATAATGCTTACTCTCAACATTGACTGGTTCCAACCTTTTAATGGGGTTACTTACTCTTGTGGCGCCATTTACCTCTCAATCAACAATCTTCCAAGAGAAGAGAGGTATAAGAAGGAGAACGTAATTCTTGCTGGCCTCATGCCAGGGCCTAAAGAAGCCAAGACAAGTGAGATAAATCACTACCTTCACCCCCTTGTTCCCGAACTTAAGACTTTGTATGACAGTGTAATGATGCCCATGGCTCAGTGTCCCTAAGGAGCTTGTGTTTGCACTGCTCTGTTTCTTGTTGCCTGTGATATTCCTGCTGCCCACAAGACATGTGGGTTTATATTACACACCAGTGTCAATGCATGCCATATATGCAACTGTAAGTTCACTCGCCTTCCCAACAACAGAGACATGCATTATTTAGGATTTGTCTTCTCTGACTGGGTGGCTCGAACTGAGCAAGAGAACCAGTGATTTGCTATTGCATGGAAAAATGCAAGGAATGACAACCAGCAAAGAATTATGGAAAGAGAGAATGATGTTCACTGGTCGGAACTCCATGAGCTTGTGTATTTCAACGCAGTAGAGTGCACTATAATAGATCCAATACATAACCTCTTCCTTGGGACCACCAAATACATCATGGAAAAGTGGATATCAACTGGTCTGATCTCTAATGCGCACCTCATAGCTATGCAAGACGATGCCGATAAGCTTCATGTTCTTATAGGCTATACATCTCTCAGAAAAAAGATAATCAAGGCATTTCCTTTCATGAAGGCTGACAAATGGAAGTCCTGGTGCCTTGTCTACTCTCCCACTGTTCTGTCTGGCCACCTTCTGCAAAAACATTTTGACAACTGGATGTGCTTTGTCAATGTCTGTTGATACCTAGCCATGCCAAGCTTGACATACAACAACCTTGCTGAGGCACATTTTTGCTTGGAGCTATTTGGAAGAAATTTACAGACTCTGTATGAAAAGCAACTCATTACTTCAAATATGCACCTACACCTACACATCAAAGAAATGGTTCTTAACTTTGGACCAGCATATGGTTATTGGCTGTTCAGCTTCAAGCATTTTAACAACATAGTTAAATCATATAAAACCAACAAAAAAACGGCTTTGAGGGCACACTCATGAAGAAATATCTCAAGGATACATCCAAAGCTGACTTAATCCGAGCAACTTTACCTATGATACAAAATAAGAAGCACAAGTTGTTACTACATGAACTCACCAATTCTGCCATCATCATCAATATGCCACCCACAAACACTGCCCACAATTTTAATCTAAGCAGCTTCCTTAATTCTATGAACAATACAGATCAAACCAAAGGGAATGAGCCATTATCTGAAGATTGTTATCTGCTCAAAATTGGCAACTATGAACCTATGAAAGAACAAGAATATGACCATTTCCTTGAGTTTTACCATTTAAGATATGAAAGCATATATCTACGAGGCTATCAGGAGGCAGTCATTAATTTACCATTTATAAACAACATAATTCAAAATATGCCATCTATAAATCTTCTTAGCCAGGTCTATAAAGCTGGATCTTTCATACAGGCATCATTCCAAAGAACTAGAACCAATGCAATCAAGACATATACTGGTCAAATACAACACATCTTTATAAATGACATCGTCGACCATACACCGTATAAGCCACTTTGCCACACTTTTGCCTATGTCAAGTGGTACATCCCTGCAGTCAAAAATGCAGCAAGAGTTGAGGGTGTCGTAATTGATGACTTTCGTTTTTTTACAGATGACTTTCATTGTATATTGCCCATTTATTGCATCTCATCATCTGTTGTCATTGGTGAATGTGTAAATGCAAAAAAAGTTGTCAGGATGGTTATTGTATCAATTCTTAGAAAAGTATATGCTTAATTCAAAAATAAATAATCTCATTAGCTATTGTAAATTTATGAAAAATCATCAAAAGAATGTTTGTAATTTAAAAATACCAAAAAAGTTTTATTTTTTAATTTTTTTGATTACCTACTCAGCCAGAGGGATTGTCGACATGGATGGCAGATCTATTTCCATGTCAACTTGGGTTTGTTTTGTAACCAACTTGGACTTATCCCCTAAGTTGTTACCACTCAATAAATCTACAGCTTCAAAGAGTTTTTGAAGCTATAGGATTGTTATAAATTATATAAGTAAAAGAAGTGCATTTTTAAAATAAAATCTCTTTTATATTTTATTACTTCATAACTTCTCCAGCTTGGTCGGAACACAGTCAAGTTATCTTTGTTGTCTGAATCCCCCTTGGAAACTACACCTTTCTGAAAGGCAAAGCTACAATCCGCGTTTCCAAACTTACTGTTGATAGCAGCTACGTGCCTTCTGGTGAGCAACAAGCTATATATACATATATATATATGTGAGAATGCTGTACAAAATCATACAGTATGTACAAAACGAATACTTACAACACCTGTTCTCTGATATCTTCTGCTTTTCTGTCTCTTTTTATTGCCTTCTTCCTCTGACTTTCTGGACTCTTTCTGCTGATTGCTAAAGTGTTTCTTCACTATATCTGTCATTTTCAACATTGATACATCACTGGTGAGTATGTTCCCTTGTCCTTGCAAGTAAGACAGCAGAGATATTATCAGTGCGTGGTTATAACTACTATGGAAACTGGAAGTCAAATCCCATTCAGGTCTGCTGTTATTCTCTGCTATTTTTTTAGGATCTGTGCCTTTCAACTTTGGATGGCAAATGTACCCTTTTATCATTCTCTATAAATTATCTTTAGATACATTTTGACATCTTTTTATTTCCATAGCTTACTGATACATCTGGAGATCTCATTCTATGCGCAAATTAACTATCAGAAGAGTTATGCACATTATTGGCTGGCATAGATCTTGCTGACAAAGTTCCATCTGCAATGATCTTGTTGATGACCTCCATGAAAGTCTAAATATCAGACATGTTATTTTCAATCCGCCTGATGGCTTCCTTAGTTGGACCCTCCAACACAATCTTGGACAAGCTGTTTATTCTGTTTTGCGGTGTAACCAGATGTTCACTAGTTGCCACTGGAGTCTGTTGTTCTCCTTGAACCTCCTGAGCATTGCTTGGTCTTGGAGCAATTGAGGCTGGTAGGACTGCAACATCTCGGCTGATTGAAGTGAAGAGAAAGTTGTTTGGAGAAATGTTTGATAAGTCAAAGTTAGACATGTGTATAAAGAGGCAAAGAAATGAAGATAAATCTTTTGCATATATATATCTACAGTTTATATTTTTTTATTACTTCTTTAAAGTTAAAGAGCTGAGAAGCTGAACATAGTTTAATTAAAAAGTCTTTGTTCTGAATAGTAATAATATTTATTAACTTTATTTTTTAATCCTAAAAATATTGAAAAATATGGCCTTTTTTGATTTTTTTTACAAGTGCATCCTTCTCACATTGAGTGACTTGTATTATTAATTATTTGAATCTTCTTCTGCCCACATTTTTTCTTATGAGAATTCTCTAGAAAACAATTTTTTTTCTCTTTTTATATATTTTCTTACACTATTTTGTAGTTGATAAATAGGACACTTACGCATCTTTTCATACACAATATTAAATACCAAGGTAAGAATGATATTCCCTTAAAGCTCTTTACTGACTATCATTTTCCTTTATTTTATTTTGTCATTTTCACTCTTTCTCATTAGCTCTATTCCTTTCTAAATCGAGTATGATGCTAAGTTTTTTTTATTGCTTCAATCTATCTTTTTTTCATTACTAATCTGTAAAAATACTTCTTTCAATATATTTTTTAGGCACACTCTTTATTTTAGTCAGCTAGCTATACAATTTGTAAGTTACGTAATGCATGTTTTTTGATATCTGTACTGATAAGAAAAGATATTTTAGAATCTTGACTATCTCAAAGTATTTATTGATATTACTTTGATTGAGTATATTACACTGTAAGTAATATTATATATCATATTCTATGCATTCATTAATTATTGTTGATGCTGCTCTTAAACAGTGCTTTTCTTCTTTCAATTTAGTATTCAATGTCTGGTTCAGGTATTAAATATAGCAATGATATTAAGCAAAAAATATCCATTGGGTTCAAAACGCGTAAAAGGAGAGAATACTGTGAAATCAAAATATTTATCTAGAAACCATTTTTTCTATCAAATAAACCAAAAATTGAAAAATTATATTGTTGTGGGGAGAAAATAAAGCAAAATATAATATAGACAAAAGAATTCGTGAGAACTTGTGTAGGTTGTTTATTTCAAAAGAAAAGTAAAGAATGATCAAATTCCCTCTTTCTACACAGAACTATCTACTGATATTTATATGTTTTTCTAATTTGTAATTCAGTGTGTGCTTAAGTAACCTTTATCACAATGAGTCATCTTCCAGGAGTATTGTTCTTCTGGAAAGATCCGGAAAGACCAATTGATATGATACTTCTCCAGTCAGATCAGTCCAAGAGTTTTGGTAAAGAAGAGCATTTATGCTATTGGTAATATTTTAGTATTCCGCCCCAGATACTTGGGTAATGTTTCATAATATTAAATAATTGTAGTTGTAGTCTCTCAATTAAGTATTTGTATAATAAAAGAAATATGTAGATGAAATATAATGCTGCCATATATATAATATATATGTATTTGTATATCCCATGTCATGGTGATAATAATAAATAATCAATTATGTGTATGATGATCTGTGTATTAGATAATATCATAAAGGGAGATCCGTTTGACTGGAATAGCTGAGGATATTATTTTATCCTTCAGTCTTACTCTCAGATTCAGCAGTAATCAATATTCATTCACAACATATATAATAAAATTGATTGTATAAAATACCAAATAAAAAGCCTGATTATAGTTGTGAGCCTGTTTTTCCACATGTTTCTCCACCTGTTTCCCCAAATTTTGAGATCTCTAGCCAATAGAAATCGAGTAAAATTTGGAGAACCTTTGATATAATTGGCTCACACAGAGTGACTTTATTTGGACTGACCATCCCATTTAAGAAATGATGACCAAACTTTAATGAGAATATATGCTAGACCTCTTTTGTATTTAAAGGGTGAATGAAAAATACCAGCTAATTTAGATAGCATGTAAATCTAAGTATTTCACCATGGTATAAGGCTTCTTTCCAAAGATACAACTTATGTTTCCATTTGGGGGGAACATCCCTTTAAACTGAGTGAAATTATTTTTTTCCCTCAATTCAACATATATTTCAACCCAGTAAAATTATATAATTTTTGCGGTGAAAGCAGATGTACAGCTGATGATTGATGTGATTATGACTGTTTCAGAGGTAGAGACTGGCTATATTATGTTTGTATTTGTGACAGAAGGTGGAGATAAGTAGAGAGATCGGTTTGTATATATTTTAAGCAAATACATATGCTTACAAGGTTTACATCTTTGCTGATAATGGAAGCAGCTGCAGGAAATAATCAAGTTTGGCTCTGCAATCTGAATAAAATATTTTGTATTTTCATTTACAAATGACCAAACTTGCCAATTTACATCTTCTGCAGTACCAGGAGCAACAATCAACATTTCTCTGTCATCATTGACTTTTTCAGCTTCTGTTTCACATATTTTTTGTTGTCTAGTAAAAAATCTCATTGCACCATTATTTGATATGACACGTCTATATTCTTAGGTAAGATAATACTTAGCATCATGTACTAAAACAAAAACAAGCTTATCAAATCTTTTGTTTCTAGATCTTTTCATGAAAACCGTTTTTAATTGATTGTACCAGAACTCGATATAGTTATTTGTGAGCATATGAGAGAATTATCATTCATGATATGCTCTACTTCAGATATTAAACTTTGCTTCTGTGCACCAGTTTTTCTCAAAGTAATCCAAGAAGCTTTCTTGATCGTCAAAGTCTTCTTTCAACTATATAATTTTATGATGAAACACGTCTATGTCTTCTTCATAAATAATCTCTTGCAGAGACTTCATCATCACACCACATAAAATTCGTGCCTCAGATGGTAAGGATCCAGGAATCTTCACACTGTCAGATAACTTTTGGTTCCATGCTTGGGTTACATGAAAGATGTAAAAATTGAATGGATGTTGCAGAAAAAGTTGTCTGAATGGCGTGAACTTCTGCTGCACAACAATCAATAGTAAATTGCTTTGGGTCAAAAAGCAAAAAAGATCTCTTCAAGAACTGCAGCCACTGCACAATGGGGCTTACACCTCGATCATTGGTTACCATAAAGGCAACAGGCCATCCTCTACCAATATCTTTATCACGCACCAAAAGGGTATAAAGAATCTCATTCACGTTGCTAGAGATTGCATGAGTAGCATCCAAACAGAAAGAAGTTGCGGTTTTTATTTTTTCTTGCTGAACGGGTGACATAAAACCATATGCAAAGGCTGATGGATCTGGAGAATATGAAGTAATTGCCTTACAGATGTTGAAGTTTAAGGTAGGAAGTTTGTTGTTCATCCAGATTAAGAAAGAAGTCATTTGGTCTTTGTCAAAATGATATAGCTTTTTATTGATCTATTACAGAAATATATTAAAGTAAATGCTATGATATATTATTTTTAAAGCTTACTTTGTTCATCAAATTCCAGATATCATAATAGTTAACTTTTCTTTCAGACTTTCTACCATATTGATCTACAGCTCTCAACATATCAATTATAATTTGACTAGCAGATTTTGACGACTGTTCTAATTGCTGAGCCAACTTGTGAAGATATTTCTTTGCAAGAGAAAGGGTGCAAATGTCACTACGCATATCACCAGAAGTATGCCCTGCATGATCTTTTGTAACAACAAATTCATAAAACTCGGGTGTCTTAAAGAATCCTTTCACACGAAGAAGAGCAGGACACTTGTTTTTCTTTGTTCACTTTTGAACCACACGCAAAGCTGCCTTAGATTCATAGGTTCCCCAACGATGACAGGAATACTCCTGAGAAAAACACAACTTAATACCAGTTGCTTTGGCTTCTTCAGCAGTAATGTTGGTGGGTTGCTTATTGGTGTTGCAAATGACCCACTTGACTGCACAAGCTTTCCCAATCTCTGTTAAACATTCTTTCCACTCAGATGTCTTTACTCTAATAATATTTTCTAATCTAAGTGTCATCACTACTGGAACAGAAGAGCATTCCAAGGCTTGGGAGATTGTTGCTAAAATGTAAATAATTTTGTTAGATTGAGTGTTGTTGATTGACATATTTGGTAAGAGTGTTTATTTTAATAAAACACGTAATTTAATGCATATAGAATATCTGTTTCACATAAACAATTCAAAAACAAAAAAAAGATTTGGCAGTTATTATTTTGGTTAGTATTTTATCATCTACTAGAAAATATAGACTTTCTATTTTTTCTTTTGATAAGATTGAATTGAACATAGCTTTGTAGCTTTTACAATCAGTACTTTTAAAGAATAGCTTTTATTAAAACAATTTTTTCTTATTTTTTTCTCTTACTCCCCTTTATTTTGAATACAATTATTATATCATAAATATGAGCTTTATAATGTCTAACACTATCTACAATCTGTTCAATGTGCAGAATGCATTTGCTAACTCACCTCTTAGAGAAATAAATGTGTTTCAATTAAATACAATAATACTAGTTAGAGATAGTGAATGTCAGGAATGTCATAATTTCATTCACAAACTCTGTTTAACTAAGTGGTTAAAGAAAAGAGATTTGTATATCTCAACTGATTTGTTGTTTTCAGAGACAAGATAGTATTATTATGGAGACAAATACAAAACAAAGCATACTTGCTGTTTAGCACAAAAGAATTCGAATTATTGTAAATGTTCTGCTCTTTTTCATATTAAGCAATATTTCAGCTCAGATGTTATTACTTTTTGCATGCTAACAGATTATACAAATCATGTTTCTGAAGACAAATCAGATCTTAGAACTTTGCCTTTCTCTTATAAAGCTATCAAAATGATTGAGCATCTTCTTAAAGAAGAAAGTCATTGTAAAAACACTAGAATTTCTGTTCTAAAGCCAAATGAGAAATAATGTGTGGGTGCTGGAAAGCTCAACTATGAAGATGTGTATAATAAAATGAGAAAGGTATGTAATTAAATATTAAGTAAGTCTTTAAACAAGTATTAAATAGAAATATAGTTGAAGAATCTGCTGTATATATCTCATTCAGAGGAAGACAGATCTCTAGCAATCTGGATGAATGAAAAGTTGCCCTTCCAAAACTACTATATCTTCATTGCCCAGCTATCAACCTTCAATGCCTCCTTATTGCCTTATGTATTTGGATTCTAGTCACTCTCCCAAATTATACTTATGACAATTTTCAAGTCAGTTTATATTGATGCTACTTATGAAATCTCTGCAAGAAGCATGGAAGTTCTTTATCTGATTTTTATATGACATACTGAAACAGACAAATGCATACTAATATCATAAATAATCACAAATAATTATAGTGTTGCCCCTATAAATCAATGACTGGTACATATCCGCACAAACAGTGCACTGGAAAAATAAAAAATACTATAGCTTTAAGTAATCTGAAAAGTAGTGGAAATGTCAAAGTTTTTTTTTCAGCTCAGCCGTTTTTTTATTTAAGTTGGGGGTGTACTGTCCACATATTCTATTGGTTTAGATGGACAATAAAAAATTCATATTTTTTTGGCTTGCTATAAAATCACATCAAATAAAGTATTTGTAGTACTTGTTTCCTTTTTTATTTTATAATTCAAGCTATACACAATATGTTTCCCTCTACCCAAACCCACACCTTAGACTGTTACTGCATTAAATGTCACAACAGTCATCAGAAATCTTCTTATGCTGCAAAGCATACTGAGACTCATCGTAATAAAAGAGCTAAAGTTGAAGGTACCAGAATATTTAAGAATAATATAATATATTCAGTGTTGGTTTTTTGGTTGCTGTATAATAATTGTTTCAATTTTTTATTTTTAATTTTTTATTTATGTTGTTTATTTTTAAACTTTTAATGAAACACAGCCACAATGAGAAACATAGATGTAGATACTGAGGGTAAGAATTTTTTTATTTAAAAGCAGAAAAAAAAACTAATAAACTATTATATTCCATATTTGTAGTAATACCGACTTCTCGTTCCAATTCTGTGGAAGCAATGGACGGTCAGGCCAACTCACCTTTTTTGAATGCCGCCTCAATGTTTGACAATGACAGAGACAACAATGATTTCGATGACAATGTTGAAGATGAAGTCAATGAGATCGAGATTGAGGACTTCAACAGTGAAGGTCAGTGTGGGATACATAAAGAAAACTAAAAGAAAAAGAGAGTAAAAGAAAAATCAAGTGTTAATTTTTTTTTAATTTTTTACAGACCCTTTTGCTGCTCCTGATATGCCCGAAAATGAAGTCTATCAATTTATAGCCATCTTTACAGTACTGTTTGCTTCGCGTCATGTTGTTGATAAGGGTGCTGCTGTCTTGATTGAGTTTATCAACAATCTGCTGAGAATCTACAACCAAGATTTTCAATTACCAACCAGTCTTGCCGGTTTACAAAAAACGGCAGGATTTTCTGCTATTACAAAAGGTATCAAGAAATTTGTGGTGTGCCAAGACTATCATACAGTATATCAGGATATTGTATCTGCTCCTCCTCAATGTGTTTCTGCAAAACTTGGTGCCAGGTCTGCATGCAATTGTAATTTGACAAAATCCATATCTTCCGGTGCCTTAGTTGCAAAGTGTAAATATGTCTACCAATCCATTAAAAATACATTGAGCGTTTTCTTCCGTTGCCCTAGTTTCAAAGCCAAGATTTGTCAATGAAATAAGGAGTTGAAGATGATAGATACTCTGTGCGATGTCTATGATAATGCGATGTGGAAGGAGTTGAAGGACAAGGATGATGTATCATTTGTGTTGGACCCATGCTCACTAATGTTCACACTTAACATCGACTGGTTCCAGCCCTTTGATGGTGTCACTCACTCCTCTGGTGCTATCTATCTGGCCATCAACAACTTGCCCCGTGATGAAAGATTCAAGCCAGAGAATATTATTCTTGTAGGTCTCATGCCTGGTCCAAAGGAGCTAAAAACTGACGAGATCAATAGTTACTTGGAGCCCTTAATGGATGATTTGAAGCAGCTGTACGTTGGCATGCGGATTTCTACACACGAATTCCCAAATGGTGTCAGTGTTTGTGCTGCACTACTGATGGTTGCATGTGATATCCCAGCCACCAGAAAGACAAGTGGATTCACAGCACATAACAGCACATGTGCCTGTTACAGGTGCAGCCGGCAGTTTACTCAGTTAGAGAGCAGCAACCAGGTTGATTTTCGTGGATTCAATTATTCTTGTTGGAATATCCGCAGTGGTGCAGAGAGCAGGTTGCATGCTGAGGAGTGAAAGGATGCAAGTACACTCTCAGAAAGGCATCAGCTGGAGGTCAAAAATGATGTTCAATGGTCGCAGTTGCAACGCCTTGGATACTTTGATCTAGTACATGGAACGATCATTGATCCCATGCATAATCTTTTCCTGGGGACATCTAAGAGATTAATGGATTGGTGGATTGCTGAGAAGACAATTGGACCTGAAGAGTTTGCTTTGATGGAGAAAATTGCAGAGACAATGGTACTGCCCAGAGATTACACCACACTGACAACCAAAATTGGAAAGGGCTTCAGCTACATGAAAGTGGATGAGTGGAAATCATGGGTTCTGATCTATTTTCCTGTCTTGTTGTATGGTATTCTCCCCCCATTACAATTCAAGAACTGGATGTATTTCGTTGATGCATGCTGATACTACGTAAAGCCCAGCATTACTTTTGATGAGATCACCACTGCCCACAGCCTGTTAGAAAAGTTTTGCAATGCATGCAACATAGACTATACCACCACTATTCTCACCTGCAATATGCACCTACACCTCCATCTTCACGAATGCATTCGTGATTTTGGACCAGTGTATGGTTATTGGCTCTTTGGGTTTGAGCGATACAATGGTATTTTAAAGAATTTCAAGACAAATGGCAAAGACGGTTTTGAGGCGACCTACATAAAAAATTTTGTTCAGAATACATATAAGGGTGATTATGTCAATGCTGTTCTTAAAAGTTCTAGCCAGATCCCCTTCATTCACACTCTGTCTAAACTTGTTACAACATCCATACCTACCACCACAGTCACCACTCTCTCCAGTCGCCCATTCAGATTGCAAGCATTCGTTCAAGGCTACACTGATCCTTATAATTCACCCAAGGGTAACAAGCCTCTTCCTCCTTCTACATTTCCTCTAAAATACAAAAAGCCATCAGTAATGGATGATTCCGACTATCTCCATTTACTTGAATATTACCAAGTCGCTTACAACCTTCCAGACCTTGCCAGCTATCAGGACACGTCCTATAATCGCCCAGCACTTGACAATCAAATCATCAAATTGAAGTCAATTGACATTCTTGGTCAACACTATTGAGGAACAAACAACAGCACAATCAGTCGT